GTCTATGATGACTACCATTCAATGGCCTGATAACATTCAAAACATGTGGTGAATGTGGTTTATGCAGATGTTACTGCAAGCATCTCCCATGCAGTTGAAATAGTAAGAATATGACCAAAGGTGGGGTTATGCATCCTTTGAATGTTTTTTAGCAATAAACCGTGGTGACCATGTTCCCATTGCTTACATCTATCATTGTGAATGTAAGCAATGTATGTGCATGTGCCATGTGAGCGTCTGTCACTTGGTGGCTTACAGTATAAGCAAGGTACCATAGAAGCAGAAGCTTGTCTTTAATCGTCCCTTTGGTTAAAGAAGCATCTTGGTATTCTACCACTAAGCCTCTGTGGCCACCCTCAGACATAAATGGGACGACACACACACACACACACACACATACACACACACACAAACATCACAGTCCCAGAGCAACACATCATCCTATGGAATCTATCTAACCAAAACCACTAAGCCACTGAGAGGCAGCTACTTAACTGAAGAATCATCTTCCCCTACTCTGTAATAATGGCCAAGCCAGATCTAAACCATTCTGTTTGAAAGCATCGCCAAGACGCTTTACTAAGGGATTGATTAGCCAGGAGTTGCGGAGGGTGCAGTGTTTACAGCTTGGTAGGCACGCATGCATGTAAAGGATCGCACACAGGAATTGTATGCAGAGAGACATCAAAAACTCATATAAATGACTTATGCTCGGTTGACAGGCTACTGTTGCTGCTGTAAGCATGTAGTGGCAAGTTAGTGTCTGACCCACCTCAGTGCTTTCATGAAGAAGATAATAAAGGTGTTTTGATTGTTATTCAAGAATGACTGGGTAATGTGATGGCAACATGTGTGACTTCTGTACAGAAATAACAAAGTTGTTTTCAATTTGGGGTCATTTTCGGATCTTCACTGCAAGACACAAGTAAACTTTGGCACACTGCAGCACCTTTGATCCTGTGTTGAAATGGGTAGCAGGTCATCTTGCAAACGTCACAACCACAAACTAAACCAAGCAGTCTGTCGGGAGATTGGTGCACACACTCTAAGGCGGGCTGAAGATCCTCTGACACTGAGCACACCTTTTTGATTAACTGCCAGACCGGCGCTGAGAGACAAAGGTGTCGAATGCTGGCAAAGATGACTGAAAAAACTGGTTTTCGTTTCTGCCGCTGAAGCACAAGTTGTTTTTGCCTTTAAGGTTCTACAAGTTTCAAGCTTTAGCCTTTATCTGTATCCAAAGTCTTTACTGTAACTCACTCTTTTCAGAGTTGATGAAGCGTGAGTGTGTGCATGCATGCTTGCACATTTCTTGCACATGTTAAATCATCATCTATGGTGACTGTCCCAGTATGACACTTACCTTTTGTTATCACTTGACCTTGTGAACCTGACACAGGAATTAGGAAAGATTAAAGAGGAACAAAGTGTCAGAATTATGGGAAATCATTTGTGAGAAAATGACTTGTAATTACTTCGCTCCACCTAAAGGAAAGAATTTAGAGCAGTTTGCACGCATGCAAAACTTGGAGCAGAAAAAGTGCCACTTATTTGCTCAGAGTAAAAAGGTCTTGCATCCAGATTTAAAGTATGTCTTCGTGCATCGGACTCATGTAGAACAGTCGGTTGCCTGTTCTGGGGTGAAACCACAGCTATGTCAGCTATAGCTAAAGACAACACATGGACCAAAACAGGATATTAAAAGAAAAAAAAAATTCACAGCTCCCTAACAAGCCCGGTCCGGCCCCTGGTTGGTGTTTACTGCATTCACTTTCTGTCAAGGAAACACACTTAAGTACACAGTGTAATTGTTTCGTAGAAAGTGGACGTGGCTGCTTATGTTTTTGGAACTCCTTTGGCATTCTTGAAAAGACTGCACTTTGTATGCAGTTATCATTTGATATAATCTACATGTTTGGGAAAAGATTATTGTATGTTGACATGTGGTATTCTTACTAAAACCACTGTGCAATATTCCAGATGTAATACAAGTGTCAACAAGTGCAATAAAATCTACGCATGTGGTTAATACTGTGGAGATGGTACTTTATGTAAAGAAAGGCAAAGGTTTTAGAATGAAAACCTTTGATGAATAAAGTACATTTTACAACCTAATCTGGTAACACTTTCTATGATGTCCCTGTCTGCAATGCATCACTAACATACTACATTTGTTATAATCTGTATATCGCTGTATAACTATAGTAACATGCACTCCAAAATATTTTGTATGATGTGTAACAACTATCAAGTATCATACTATCAAATAATTGCTGAACATTCTCTTCATTTTCTGTTGCAAGGATAGTGTATTGTAATTTTCCAAGTTGGAATGCATTAAAATCAATGTTATAATACATTATAATTAATGTAATATTGCATAATAATGTGCATATGTGTTGTTCTTAAAGGCCCCTGTGTGCTTTAAGTGATGTGAAAACACAAAAAGCTTCAAAATGTTGTTAAATAGATTACTTAAAGCATATAATGACCACTTATGGCGCATTTCCACTGCATTACGTAGCACGGTTTAAGCGTGCCGTGTCAAACCCGGCCCGTTTTTTGTTGCGTTTCCACTAGGGGTAGTTCTGGCTAACGGGTACTTTTTCACAGTTTTTTTGGCCCTTCAAAATCGAGGTTCTTTCCAGGCCAACAACCGGGCTGAATATGCTAAACTAGTGAGAGAATCGCTGGCAAGGGGGCTACAACTACAACAAAATGAACATATTTTACCATGATTTAATTGTAATACACATTTTTAAATGATGCCGAAGTAACAACAGACTGATACCGGTTAGTAAAAACCATGAATTAATGCTTTGACAAGTCTGCAGACAAGACGGCAGGCGAAAAACCTTTTAAAATGCGTGTTATCTGAATGGAGATCGGCTAAGCTAACGTTGTATATGCTCCGACCGTCCACACTCACAACAACGGCCTATACAGACATAAATAAACCAGCGATTGTATTCACCATGACACAGACAGTCTGTGGTTCGTACTTGTTTAACTTTTGTCTAGTTTCTGAACAGATATGAGGAGCTGTGAGCTCTGAGTGCTAACAGCTAACAGCTGATATTGGTTTTGTGGTTCACATTGAAGATGGCATCACGGCTCCGCCTACACTGCGTTACTATAGTTACTGCCCCAGCTACTAAACTGTAATGGAAACGCAGCATAAAGTGAGCCTGGCCTACCAAGGCCTAACTATACCGTACTAAGCCGTACGAGGCCCTGCAGTGGAAATGCGCCATTATTAGAGTAACATTATAATCACATTAAAATGCAATATAACAGTGATAATAATGCATTTAATAAAAATCATAATGTATAACACATTTTTTACACTGGGATTCTTGCAAAAATAAAAATGTGAGTGAGTGACTGGCAATAATGAGTACCTCAACTATGATTACCAGGCTTATAGTGATTATGGTTAGTTAAAGGTATGTTTATAATGTATTATACACATTGAGTTGTTAAAGGTTTTATCAAAACTACTTTATGAAACAATCAAAACACTTTAAAACAGAGGCCTAGTAGGCTACCTTCTTCTCCTTGTTCCCAAAGCAAATATTTGTATTACATATATAAACAATTCCACACATTACTCAAGGACTACTTAAACAGGGACAAGTATTCATGAGAGTTTCGTGTGGGTATAATCACCTAGTCAATTACACACAAAAGCATCTGCTTCCACATTTTGATTACGTGACACTATACCCTTCACCACCTTTGCTTTTGGCTACAAGGTGCTGCCAGTTGTAGCTTGAAGAGTCGGTGAACATGAACAAACAGCTTTTACCACGTAGTTTTATTCTCTGGGTTAATTTAACATAATGACCCGCAGCATATTTATCTTGACGTGTATCTGGTAATAACGGGTATGCGAACTGATGAGTATCAACATGGTTTGCAAGTTGTTTTAATAGTCCTGACGTCATAAAAAGATTAACCAGCATTTATTTTCCTTTATCATAATATGGCAAAAATAAATGATATCTTTCAGTTTCGTAAGTTTTTTAATTTGGTAGCTTATGCAAGCTTAGACAATCTTAGGTTTCTCATTCTTTCTTCCAACTCCATAAAACACACACAGACACAACAATCTAAGAAATACTACAGAGGCAACCACACTCCTATATAATGCCACACAGCAAACTTGGTATATGATTACATACACATTTAAACAAACTGCCCACTGAAAGCAGCAATATATGATAACAATGCACAACAAGACACATGCACGTACACACGCAAGTCTATTGAAAACAAGGAACCACGCAAGAATTTTCTGTGGCACCAAGGAATTCACTGGAACAAACATAATACATTCTCCTGAATGCCACCCTGAAACCATGCTGCATTCCTGGTAGACAACACGGCCTGCTGTGCAGCTTGGGGGTGGGCCTCACTTAGTAGTAAAAACAGACATTAATTTTAAAGGTTTTATGCAACATACCTAAAAAGCATCACAACATAGAAATTGTGTTCTAATCATAGACTGTATATATAAAGGTTCTAATAGATCTATGAATGTCCCATCTGTCAATGGTGGTTGCGGCTATTTGCATCATGAGTAACTGTCATTGGCCTAATGTGGGAGTGCCTACAGGGCATATTACATGTTGTCAATAAACCCACCGATGAGTCACTGAAATGGATTGAGCTTTTGTTTTGTCGAATAACACAACACCTGCTGTGTAGAGAAGAACGAACATCAGAGGAAAATAGAGAAGCTATGAATACTTTATTTTACTTTCACCCATCTAACAATCCCTTTAAAGTTATTGACACAGCTCAAATCTCGACATCTGAACTGGCTCTGACTCACACCATCAGTCATTTGTGAAAAAGAGAGTGAGAAGTATGAAAGGGAAGGTTGTTTTACTCAGTTGAATCATCTTCAAACGTATAGACGATCTTTGTCAGTGGAGGTTACCGCCGTCACCTAGCAACCAGCTACAAACCACAGAGAGCACAACGCCGACATGAGAGCTAACGCTAGCCAACGAGCTAACCAGCTATGTGTATGCACCAACCTCACTCGATAATTTCATTTTTTAGCGGAGAAAAATGGTGAAACAGACGATACAGATATATGGCCGCATTAAACCTACCAAGAAAAATACAACGGTAAGTTGGCAAGTACAACAGCATTTAAACACAACTTAACAACAAAGTTGATAACATAATGCTCGACAGGATGTCAATTTAAGCTAGCTAATGTTGGCGTTATCTTAACAAGGCCTATCTAAATACGTAGCACGCTGGTATTTTTTCATATAACGTTAAATATTCAAAGTTAGGCATTTCATCAAAAAACAGCAGTTTGAACTGCTAAACACACACCTGTCGATAAGTAATGTCAGTCTACCAAAGTTGTGTTTACAATGTCTACATAACTTTTTCACAACAGACATGTCACAGCAGGAAAAGCACTAGCTAATGGCATTACTAATGATGGCTTCCTTCCATTAAGTGTCCCTATAAATCATTCAGGTGAACGACAGTTAACATAACATTACCTGGTCCCTGGGACTAGCACACCTGAATGGAATGTAGCCTAATTAATCTTTTCAATACACCTGTGGATTTATTACAATGACATGCCAACATACAGTATTCGAAAAGGGTCTTCGTTGTCACTTACTCCGTACAGTAAAAAAGACAAATAATAAACCCAGTAAAGTGAGCACACTTCATTTATCTCCTGCTAAGTAGGTATTTTTGGACATATATTTATTAAAAAAGTGTTTGAATTGAAGATGCTACTAGCTTGTATGTTGTGCTAATGTTGCCTACCAAGGCCTAACTATACCGTACTAACAGGAACATCTTTTGTGCACAAAACTCACAAGTGTTCTTTGTTTCAAAGTAACATTTAAATCTAGATGAATAGAGATCCCATTTTAAGGCCACATTGAACACTACATTTGTATTTAGTATTAGTTCAAATAAAAGAGATTTACAGCGACAACAAGGTTAAACTGCATTACAGTGATTAGTATGAAACATAAGCAACCATTTTAAGACTTTTTAATTTTTTTGCTGGAGGGCTTATTTTGCATTAAAGTGCATACATGTTTAATAATGTTCAAACAAGAAACGTCCCATGTAACTGATGGCATTACTAATGATGGCTTCCTTCCATTAAGTGTCCCTATACATCATTCAGCTGAACAAGAATGAACATTTCAGTGGCAAGGCCCTGGAACTAGCACACCTGAAAGGAACATGGCCTAATCAATGCTTTCATTACACCTGTGCATTTCTTATCACTTGCCAACATATTTGAAAAGGGTCTTCGTTGTCACTTACAGCATACAGTAAACCAACTAAAAAATGACACGGTTAAGTGAGCATACTTTATCTCCTGCTAAATGTTATTTTTTGTCCTACAGTATACCAATTTGGAAATGTTTACATTTAAGATGTTTCTAGCTAGTATGTTGTGCTTATGTTCAGTATGTTTATGTAGCTTCTTTTGTGCACAGAACTCACACTTTTCTTTGTTTCCAAGTTCATTTTTTATATCTAGATTAATAGAAATGCCATTTTAAGGCCACATTGGAAATGAAATGTGTACTTATCAGTGGTGGAAGAAGTAGATCTAGTAATGAAGTAAAAGTAGCAATACTTCAGCAATACTTTCACTTTCACAAGTGAAAATACTCAAGAGAAGTACAATTACCTCAAAATTGTACTTTAGTACAGTACTTGAGTAAATATACTTAGTTACATTCCACCAATGGTATTAAGTATCAGTTCAAAATAGATTTATAGTGACAACTAGTGCAGGGTAAAACTGCATTAAAGTGAATAAGGTGAAACATAAGTAGCCACCGTAAGACTTTCTTTCTTCAGTCTGGTGAGGTTTTTTGCATTAAAGTGCACACATGTTTAATAATGCTCACCTACTTTCAGATAAAGGCCCTTTTTTATTAAATACATATGTAAAAACAAAAGTCTATGCCCATGTGCCTCCCCCCACTGGCAGGCAGCACGCTTGATATTCTTCCTTAAATCCAGGTTTTTGTGTGAGCATGACAGCTGATTGAGTACAAATATCACATTACTTTGAGGGTTTCTGTGGCACTTTAGCCTGAGCTGACAATATCCTACAAAATGAAATGAGCACAGCTTCCTCCTTGGGGCTTTTTGAGGTTCTGTCAACAGAGCAGTGGTGGTCGGGAGGCGATACTGCTGGCAGACTGGCAACACAAAACAATCCAATCATTTAGGTCTTATATTTTATTCCTGAATCCCTGGGGACTTATAATTGCATCTGTGTCTATCGGAAACATATGCCAGAACATATGTCGAGGGAGGGGGTGTTTAGTTTGACCCAGCCAGCCTCACTTTAAATGTCCTCCTCTGCTAAAGCTCAATCTATATTGGTTTAAGGTTCTGAAGCTTTTCTTGTCTCCCCTGAGGCTTCGGTGAGCGGAGGTAAAATTGCAGAGCTTGTTTAGCCTGATCGTGATTGCTTGTTGCGTTCTATTGCTTTCCACAGGATAAATGCTTCATAAACTCCATCTTTTCATTTTGTCGCTTGCGTTATCCAAACCACCAGTGGCCAAACTTATATTTCAAACCAAACATGATGTATTGTCTTTGTGTTTAAGTTGGCCTGCATGTATAGTACCATAAATATGACGGCAAACTATTCACAGAGAATATACTGTAGGACACAACCCTTTCAAAAGAATAAATGAATGCCTTTATGTCTATTCTAGAATTCGAACCAAATATTCTCTTGTGGAAGAAAAGCCCTCTCCCATGCTGTGATAGTAATATAAGCCTGTTTCCACTGCACTGTCTCTAATGTTGCATCTGGCTCCCTCAGGTGTACTCTGTGGACAATGAGGAGCAGACAGGTGCTTTTCTGGAGTTCCTGGTTCCCCGGGACCTCGCTGATGGCTTTGTCAACAACAAGAGGGAGTGCTACAAGTTCAGGTAGAGTGTCAGGTTCCTTTATTAATATCCTTAAAACCTTCCATTTGCTTTGTTTCCCAATAAATGAATCTAAATTAAATTAAACTGGAGGGGTTTTAGATGGAAGACCGCATCGATTAGTTCACTAATCCTGTTATCATCGATGAAGAGAAATGGACATCTGTATGATAAACAGTTAGTTAATAAAAGTATAATCTAATGTTTCAGCCTTTTAAATATAGCGATGTCCTTCTTTTCTCTGTTTTATATCATAGTAAGTGAATATTGTGGGGTTTTGGACTGACATTGACACACTTTTTTTTTACCAAGTGATTCATTTTTTTATATTGACAATAAATTGTCATCAGACCATTCATTAATGAACATAATCAATAGTTGCATCCCAACTAATGATTACATTATAGTTTTATAGTAATGATTTCCTTCAAATCAGGGGGCTCATTCACAAATATCTTACACTTCTTTTCTTAAATATGTTCTTCAGAAAGGCTTTAAGAAAAGTCTATATCATATTCATGAGGTGTGTGATTAAAGAATAATTTGTACCTGTCCTCTGACAATGATGTATCCTCTTCCTTGTAAATTAAAAGCGTGTGGCAGTTGATTCTAATTAGCATATAACGCCCCACCAATCCACTTAAATGGCATACCACTGCAGGGCTGAAATGAGTAAAAAAAAGAAAGAAAAGTCTATAGAGGTTGGAGCACCAGACTGTTACAGTGTGTAGGTGTTTACTTTTTTAAAAGGCCAAAAGCTTTGTGATATAATAAAGATAATTCAAAAAAATAATATATATGATAAACATATTATTGTAATTTAAATTCAGTTTAACACTACTGTAGAATTGAAGGAAACCTGATAACTAATTATTTGCACGAACATGTCAGCACTCAATTGTGCTTAAATGTGTTGATTCTGTTCATACACAGACACAGAACATTTAAATAAGAAAACATTGAGGGCCTGAGGAGAACAGTAGGTGAATGATCCCCAAAATGATTAGATATAGACTATACGCAGTAGTCGAAAACGATGTGTATGATTTTTTTTTTTACCGATTAAGCTTAAGAGCTTATGCTAGAGTTGTGTACTGTAACTGTAGAGTTTAAAAATAACATACAACATAAAAGAAAGTTTGTTGTCCACCAGAATTTACACTACCAGAGTTTCATAAGAACTTTTCCCAGGAATAATTCATCCAGCAGTTGTCAATGCAGAGCCAACACATCTGTCTAACGCTGGTGATGAGAGCTGCAGCCTTATATACCCTAAGGGCAGGGCCCATGCCACGCTTCCAAGCCCTAAATTCACAGTTAGGAAATCAGACAGCAGTGGACACTGAGAGCCTTTGAAAACCACACAGTCTTATTATAACCCTTGGAGGTTCCCTTGTGCCCTTATAGAAATACAATTTCCACATTTAACAATCTTCCTGGGCGGATTCCTCCACATCTTTCTGTGGGATAGAACATGATGAGCTGCGTTAGAAAACAGAATGACTAAACTCCTCCTCGTCCACTTGGGAAATTAAATACTTTGCCGTTTGTGCTTACTCGGTACTGCTGTGGGTGATTGTGTTGAACCCTGGATCTTTGAGATAATGTATACTTACTGTATGTTATTGTAGTGAAATAAATGAAAGCTAAATGTTGTATTCTGCCAATGTGTCATACTGTCTTTGTTCTTCTCCCTTTTTTCCAGGTTCCTAAAGGTGTTTGATCAAGCTGTTAAACAAGAAGAGGTATTTGAAAACATTGCCAAACCAGTTGCAGACAGGTAACGTCTTTCTGACATAAAACTTCTTATAATGACAAATGCAAATAAATGTTTAGTGCTGTAGCGATGAACCCAGATTGGCAGACAAAAATACATCATACTTACATACACTATATAATGCAGTTCATTTTGAAAGTATATATATTTAAAAACGTTTTGTTAACCTTACAACTACATCCTTTGATTATTCTATTCACAATTCACTGCCCACCTGTTTCTTGCAATGCTCCTCTCATCACGTTTTGGTCAGGCCACACAGGGTATATCCATCCTTGTTGACAGGAAGTTAGTAAAGCTCAGCTTTCTTTAAGATGAAAATGGAGGGTGTCTGTGATGTTTGGCCTGCTTTACAAACTTTAACCACTAAGTGGACTGAGCTGGCAGGCAAAATGGCCCACTGTGCCATCGAGAGTGTGAGAACATTTTCCAACCACAACACAGGAGCAACACTGTAGCCACTCACTCATTTTGAGCTTTTGTTCCATGTCATGCATGAGGACAACATTCATTAAAGTAACCTGCTGAATAATCTGGCCCGCATGATGAACAGTTCAAGTCTACACATTCATCAAATAAACACAATACAACATGATTTGCATTTACATTTCATTATTCTTACTTCCAACTAGATTAATTGTGACGTAAAGCTTCCTTTGCCTCGAACGGCCTGTCCACACGGCAGCGTGCGTTGCTTCAACGGAGACGCTTCCCATTCACTTTGAATGGGGTGACGTCAGGCTTTGCCGAACTGCATTGTGGTTCCGTCGCGTCGCTTTGCCTCCGTTGCTCGCTTCAAAAGTTGAGAAAAGTTCAACTTTTCAAGCTTCGACGGAAGCGTCAGCCAATCAAAACATATGCCAGTACAAGCGCTAGCCAATCAAACCGCGTGCTTGTGTGTCCGGGGCGGGAGATTAATGTGATTGGTTGTTGGTCGCGTGCCAGACACGCCCACCGGCAAGCTTCAATGCACGCTGCCGTGTGGACCGTAAGATATCTCAACAGTGAGGTCCATTTCAATTAAAGTTTTTTAAATTTTATTACACAACACACATTTACCCAGCAGCCCGTTAACACAACAGGTTAAAAAAAAGTTTTCCTCCCCATGGCTCAATTTAGCCTGACCACCTCCATTCCTCCCCAGGCTTCTTATGGCGCTTTTCCACTGCAGGACCTAGCACGGCTTAGTACGGTATGGTTAGGCCTTGGTAGGCCAGGCTCACTTTATGCTGCGTTTCCATTACAGTTTAGGAATTGGGGTAGTAACTATAGTAACGCAGTGTAGGCGGGGCGATCGGCTGTTCGGCGGGCGGAGCGACGCTGTGTAAAACTGCCGTGACGTCATCTTCAATGCGAACCACAAAACCAACATCAGCCGTTAGCTGTTAGCACACAGAGCTCACAGCTCCTCATATCTGTTCAGAAACTAGACAAAAGTTAAACAAGTACAAACCACAGACTGTCTGTGTCATGGTGAGTACAGTCGCTGGTTTATTTATGTCTGTAGGCCGTTGTTATGAGTGTGGACGGAGCGTATACAACGTTAGCTTAGCCTGATCGATCCGATCTCAATTCAGAAAACACGCATTTTAAAAGGTTTTTCGCCTGCCGTCTTGTCTGCAGACTTGTCAAAGCATTAATTCATGGTTTTTACTAACCGGTATCAGTCTGTTGTTACTTCGGCATCATTTTGAAACGTGTATTACAATTAAATCACGGTAAAATATGTTAATTTAGTTGTAGTTGTAGCCCCCTTGCCAGCGATTCTCTCTGACCATTCAGCAGTCGAGTGTTTACGTCACTAGTTTAGCATATTCAGCCCGGTTGTTGGCCCGGTAACAACCTCAATTTTGGAGGGCCAGAAAAAAGGTGAAAAAGTAGCCCTGAGCCGGAACTACCCTCTAGTGGAAAAGCAAAAAAAAGCTGGCCGGGTTTGTGCTGCAGTGGAAAAACGCCATTAGTCACAATAGGGGCTATTTGTGGAATTCCACAAGTGCTTTGCATTATCTTTGCTAATATGAGACATATAAACAGCATGGTGAGACATCTGGATCAGCTGACTAAGGGCTCGGATGTATTTGACCTGACTCACACGGGGTTCACAGACTCGTGTTTTCAGTTGTCCTGCCCAGCTAACCTTTTCACAGTCTCTGTTGTGGCAGATAGTAAACATCAGGTTTAAAGTTTCAGTCACAACCAGGCTAAGTCCTTTGCCATATCAATTTAAGCTTGGCGTATTTTAGCCTTTGATATGACTCTGCAGTCTTAAAGACACTAGTCATCCGGTCTAGCCAGAACCCATTTGTCTCCACAATCAGACATTTCTAAGTCTACTGTCAATGCCTTGCCCCCTCTGCAGGACGCTCGTTTACACAATGAATGTTCTAAATTCCACAATGTGTGAACCATTTAAATCTGTTCTCCGCACAGTGAGTAAAAGTAAGGGGAATAACTCTGCCTGCCATTTCGTATATGTTTCCCTCAAACACAATCACAGCAATAGGCTTAGGCCTCATATCCAAAAAGTAATAAAAGAGACACGGGAAGTCACTTTAGCGTGGACTGACGTGTAATAAGCTATGTGAAGCCCAGCTGGTGTGCTGATAACTCTGAAGTGAAGCTTATGTTGATATTGACGTGGTCCCAGTTACAGAAGCACGTCTGGTCACAGAAATCACAAACTGAGTCTAATTTGGAGTGACAGATAGTTTTTCCTAAAGCCCCTGCAGTCAGGAAACATTTATTCAGGTTTAGCGTGGAATTGCTTTGAATCGAAGCAGTTTCGCTGTCACCGCACTAAAACTCAGTTTCATGCACGCAGGCGCCTATCCTCTCAACTAGCAATAACTGTCAGGTTGTTGTTTTGGTTGGTACTCTGTCATACTTGGCGCACACCAAGTTTAGCCAATAGCTCTAAGTCGTTTACTTGCGTTCTAGTCTCTGTCTCTGCTGTGGTGTAACCGAAACCAGCAATTTCAACCCCAACACAGTAGTTTCAAAACAAACCAGCATTAATAGCTCCAGTAGAGGAAGAGCCAAGATAACGATGTTGGGCTGGCAAGGCAAAGCCTCTATCTGGATTGTAATTCCATTTCACAAGGATGTGAAACCAGTAGCTGAAGTACAAAGAAGGATTAAGGTCTGTGCATTTTTATCCTTAAACCTAATACTTGAAAGAAAGTAAAAGATTGGACTTACTGCTTTTCAAATAAAGAACCGTAATAACTACTCAACGACAAGTTGCCAATCTCCAGGAGAGCTGAGGTGTAAACAGGAACAAGCATTGGGAAACGCCCAAGCCTCAGTGGCAGTGCCTAGGCCGCATCATTAGCTCTGACATTAAACCTCCCCGCTGCCAATCACTGCCATGACTCACGGCGGACTAAATGGATGCCCATGGTTGCCAACCAACCACCATGAGTGGACGTAGTGTTTTATATAAACTGACATGCAGTTTTTTCGCTTACTCTTCTCATGCAGGGTGTGGAATTGGATAGTACGCAGGAAACCCACACTGCTCTAATTCTGGGTCAGTAATTCAATTAGGATAAGTGAGAGGCTTGTGTTTTATAATTTACCCTAAAAAATATAGTATCAAGATATCCTTGTTTGTTAATTGTCAAGTCAGTTTATCCTCACCTATGGTCAGAGCTTGTGTTTCAGTCATTTGACTATTTGTCCTGCTTTATTACCAAGACTAGAGAACAGGTTTTTTCACCAATTTATATTACCTCATAGAAGCACCACCATGTTGGATGTTGTTTAATTCAAATGGAACAAGATACCTTTGGTTTCCATGGCCCTGTGCACGTGCAGAATAATGATTCAGTGCCAAACCAAAATGTACCAGGCCCTGCCTAGTTGAGTGGGTTCAGGCCTTTTCCTTCACTCATACTCCGAGACATTCCTCCGTCACCGGCAGACGTCTGTCGCCATAGCCGTCGCTCTCCAGTCACTGCCATCCTTCCCTGTGGATTTAAAGTGTCAGTTTCAATTCACCCAGAATTTTGGTTTCTGCATGAGGGTATCCTTGACAGTCCCCTTCTTTCCACTGTTGGCCATTAATTACCTTTAGGCCCACTTTGTTGTTTGGTTGCATATATTTAGCCCTCTAGAGCAAAGCAGTGACCATACACTATTTAATCAAGTCATGGAATATTCTCCAATCTTCCATGACTTCACACATGACCGCAACTTAGCCAGTTGAATCCTAGCCATGGACCTTTTTTGCTTGTCCCTTTTCCATATTGCCTATTCTCTTTTACCTATCCAACATAGGTCAAAATGCCTCATAAAAAGAAAGCAATTGTGTATGTATTCTGCTAATGAGCTTTATATAAAAATGAGAAATAGATAATATACAGTACAGTGTACATTCTTGTTGGCATTTGAATTACAATAGACTTTATAAGTGTTCATTATCTTGTGTGCTATATTTACATGCCATTCTGGAGAGCAGGTACAGAACATCACAAAACAACCGCAGCCAGGCTTTTCTACGGATAATGATACAGTAATTACGGTACTTACGGTAGTTCATATTGCTGAAGGTTAACCACTGACCTCTTTAGAGTGCAATTATTTTGCAAGGTTTTTAAATGATTGACCTTTCTGTTTTTGTATTGTGTGTTTGTGTGTGCACAGTGTGTTGGCTGGCTACAATGGCACCATATTTGCCTATGGCCAGACGGGCAGTGGGAAGACGTTTACCATCACAGGAGGGGCCGAGCACTACAGTGATCGTGGAATTATCCCCCGCACACTTTCATACCTGTACGAACGCTTCAGCCAGGTCAGAACAGCAGGGAAGCTTTCTCTATCATTTCATTTTAGGCCACACACATACAGTATACATTCAAGAAACATGAACCCTATTGTCTCTCTCTGTCATTGTTAATTACGCTGTTCTACAGCATCTACATTTAAACATTTGCTTTTGCAAGAAAGCAACAACAACACTAAGGCTGGGTTGCACCAACAGAGAACTATTTTATGTTTTTAAATGAGCAAATCCAGATCTTTTATTTCTCTGTTTAGTAAATCCAAGTGTATTGATAGGAAACCAACTTAATTATTTTGCTTGGTCCATCCCAAAAAAGCCATTTTAAAGTGTAAGTTTAAAGTTAATACTGAGTCACATTTTTTAATTCAAAGGATTTTTTCTGCAACATAATTCATTTTAATCAGGTAAAAACTAAACTAAAGTTTAAAGAGGTTGATTTAAAAATGAATCCTCGTTGAATTAAATCTTTATTCAGTTAAATACATACTTACAGTACATACTTCTTTGATGCTCCACAGGACAGCAGTATGGTTTATACCACACACATCTCCTACTTGGAGATCTACAACGAGATGGGATATGACCTCCTGGATTCCCGCCATGAAGCGTCTCGACTGGAGGACCTACCGTCAGTGTTCCTTTTATTACTGTAACTTTTACCATGCTGATGTTATAGTCATCCCGTTCCCTTTGAACATGTGAACAATTAGCATCAGATAGTGTGTATTGAGACTTGGGGATATGCACTCATAAGTAATATATGCAGGGGGTTTTTATGCTGAAAAGCCTAATCAGGCCTGGTTCCATAATCCGCCTTATTCCTGAACAGCCATTTGTCATCCTGGCTCGGAGTCACACTGTGGTGAAATATGGAGACTCTAGTATTTACCACCTCACTATGAACTGCCAACTGACATAATAAGACTTTGGGACAGCAATGGATGTGGTCAGACTCTGCCACTAGAGTGGAGAGCATGAGGGTCATGTGAAGAAATTGCTTTTCATAGCTACTGGCTGCTGCAGCTGCTCTGAGGGAAATTCTTTTTTTGGGTCCAGCTACCTCTTTCTCTCACTCTCTGTTTGTGGCCATTTGTTGCTTCCCTTTATACTAGGACCTGTCCTTCAAACTCTCCTTCTTCCACACGGTTTCATCCAGCTTCATTTTTACCATGTGTCCATCTTTCTTTGTAATTAACAATTCCATTTGTCTGGAGGTTTGTCTGTGTCTGTTCCTTTTTTTTGTGTGCCTAATACTTATTCATCTCTAGACGTCCGGTTGTCTTTTATGTTCTCGTACCAGTTCCATTTAAGTTTCTCAGAGGATCCAGCTCAAGGTTTAGATCCCCACAAATCACAGTCTTCTGGAAATAGACAGTGCCCGTTGTTAACCATGCTGTGGCCACACTTGCTGATTCAAGAAGAAGCAGTTCTCTCTCGGACTGGTGCTCTGCTTCTTTCTTTCACTGCCTACGCCTTCTCTTTCTGACATTCTTGCACTCATTTTCCTTCTTCTTTGCTCCATCCGTGCATTATTACCTCTGCCAAGGAAGGTATGTTTTAGGTTTTAGGTTGTGTTTCTTTTTGTTTGTCAGCAGGATTATGTGAAAACTACTTGGTGGAAGTGTCAAGGAAAAGCCCAAAATATTTTGGAGAAGATCAGAATTATAGACACACACATTATTTTTTTCCGTTTCGTTAAAATTGCAGGATCTATTTGCGCTCTTGAAAGAACCCTGCTTGTTTCTATCATGCGTTCAGCGGTCCTCCCTCTAAATGCTTAAAAGTCTGTATATATCAACCGCATCATCTCTTATATTTCTGTAAAATAAATAATCAATCCTTTTTTGAGTTGGTGGGGCTGTTTAGAAAAATAACCATACCATAGCACAGGTCTTTAATCACATTAAGATTCATTGTGTTTTATCAAACAACCCCAATTACCTTCACATGTTAACATAATTATCCACATGTGTTCTCCAGTGGTTCCACCCTCTGACATCTCAATCCAGTAGCCATTCTGTCACAACTGTAGAGGTGTGATGGATTTGATATGGTTATATAACCGGAGTCATTCCGACCCATCTGGCCAAGCACACTGCGTGTTGAGGGAAATCAAGCCCTGTCTGTTATCGAATTATAAACCCCCAGACAGATGAAGCACATGTCAATCTGGGTAGCAGCCCACACTGACTTGCAGATGTGGTTTGTTTGGATTAAGCGCTGAGCAAAGCCAAGGCGATTGGAGGGAAATGGATGACATAACGGACATGATTACCTTTCATAAATGCTTCAGGGTTGGATTATTTTGGTTTTGACTGTATTTGTCCCACTTTTGTAATTTCAAGATATTTTTTTATGCTGGAATTAACTTCATTTTTTCATTTTTTTTCCAGAAAGGTGCTGATTATGGAAGATCCAGACCAGAACATCCATCTGAGGAACCTGTCACTGCAACAGTCAGCAAATGAGGAGGAGGCTCTGAATCTGCTCTTCCTTGGAGACACCAATCGTATGATTGCAGAGGTAAGAAATAAGGGAAACACTTCCTTTCATAGATGAGAGCAGCGCCACGTCACTGCCTGGCGATATTGACAGCCCTGTCCACATTCCGGTTAAAACAAAGAATTGGCGCTAAGGGGTAAACATTAAGTTATCATGCCTAAAAGCGGGCGTGTCATTTATTGTACTTCAAACAACAGAAAGATCCAAAGTTAAGATTTTCTATACTTTAAAGTGGACCTATCATGCTATATTTGAATAATATAGTGTAGGACCATACCTATATAAGGCATATTTATACTTTTTTCTTTTTCAAAATACCAAACAGATCATGCATTTTAGCCATGCCTCATTTTGCTCAATTTGACATTTTTTAGCTCTGTTTTTGCAAGGGCTGTTTCAGTGAGAACAGCACCATGTAATGGCCTGGCATATGTACTACAGCGTCTCCAGCGCTTTCGAACGGCAATGGCCGTGGCTGTCTCCTCCTGATTGGTGGAGTTGGCCCAATAGCCGTAGCGCCACCGTCCTGACGTCAGGACAGTGTTCAAATCTTGATCAGTTTTTATCAGATCCGTTGCAGCCCATTTTTTAGAGATTTGGGTATGGAGGAAAATAGAGAGGGTTGTGTTTTCTGACACTTGGTGAGTTCCCTGGAACACCGGGGACACATATTCATGTATAAAAGACGTACAAAAGTGCATTTTGCATGATAGGTCCCCTTTAACTTAGGAAAAAGGACGATCAAATATCTGTAGCTTCTGGCCAAGAGTACAGAGATTGTAAGCAATGGAACCCGGTACGTCCATTTTTTTCACCCAAAAAGGGGCGCGGCCATGGCGTTGAGGGAAAGTACCCAGATGGGTTGCTCTTACAGATAAGGATTCTCTGCTAGTAGAAATGTATGATGTGACTTACAATTTTAATTCACACACAAAACATGCTGTGGTCTCAGAGAGGATTGTATTCGGCATGCAGAAATACATTACCACTCCCAGGACAAGTGGCGTGAATGGTCCACACTGCAATATGCACTCTAAAGGCCACCTTAGGACCCTTCTAAAATATTACTTTGGGCCCCTGTGGTCCCTTTTACCATGTTTTCCCCAGTATAACCAAGCATTCTCTCTGTAATTTCTGTTTATGTTACGGTGGTTCCTTTCTACACTTGAGACACTCAGACTCCCCACGCTGATGTGACATGTGGCGGGTCAGCTTTTTGCCCTCAACCTGAGGTTTGGAGCAAAGGGCTGATATCACCTTGTTTACCCTTGTTGCTAGTTTGTAAGTAAATAACAGACAGTAAAAGTGAACCGAATAATCAGGTTTCAATCAGAGACTTGCTTTTAAGTAGTATTCCAAAGTCAGCTTTTGATGTGGCTGAGACTCGAAACATAACCAATCCAAAAGGAAATAGTTATAAGATCCAGGATAGAAGTTCCCCGGGAATCGGTTTTATTGCTACTACACATATGATGCACATATTCCACGGAACATAGCCCATTGCCTAAACAATAACTCCTTTCTTTTTCATCTACCTTGAAGACAAACCATTTGTCCACTGCTGTAAAACCTGGGGGTATTCTTCAATACAAACATATTCTTGGATGTTACATTAATCTGTTGATCAGGGAAACAAGACGTATCACAGTTCAGCGAGGAGCCCACAGTACAGTCCACCCACACACTTTAGTGAACTAATCCCCTCTGGGACTTCTTTACAAAAGTTTCTCTTGAGCCCCGAGCAAACAAAGAACCGTCAATAAAGTAAATCTGTCGCTGCCAGAATCATCCCAGAAGTCCCTGCTCCACATAGACTTCAAATAAAGTTAACACTAGTGCTTTCTTTCTTCTCTCGCTCACGGCCATGTGGATAAAAGATGACACATCCATTCAAGCTGCACATGGCAGATCATGAGCTCACTCGCTTTGAGACTTGGCAATCCCCTGTGCACTTTTATTGGACAGGAAATAAAATGCACCTTCTCAACTCCTCACCCCTTCCTTTAACCTCACCAGGAAACATTTCCTCTCATCTGGTATTTTTTTTATTCCTGTTCCACTTCCCTTCACATGTGGGGATGCAGAGCCTGGATCTTTCCTTCTTCCTACATCCTTACTACCTTCTGAGCTTGTAGGGGTGAGGAGGGTGCAGAGCAGGTTTGTTTTCCAAATGAAACTTCACATTTCATCTCTCAAATCTGCAATCTCTAGGCATTTAAGTGCTTTTAGCATTAGATTGACCCACTTGGGCGCTGTGTGTGGTCAGCATGTGGTGTGTGTGGGGTCAGCATGTGGTGTGTGTGTGTGTAAGATCAACATGTGGTCAATTGAGAACACAGGAGAATAAAGGAAGTGACTCCAATGAGGTTGCATTGTCCTGCTGTTTTTTGACAGCTAAGACATACTTTAATGTCGTTGTGTGGACACAATTTCCCATGTGAACTGAACACACAGTCTGTAAAGATTTAATATGCAAACTATGCTTGATGCGCTCCTGGCCAAATGTTTTATTTTATACTGAGAGTTTTCTCCAAAAGAAAACGTTGATATCATGTTTGTGCAACTGTCTCCAGCTGGTGCTCAGTCTTTGTTAAAGCCATACTGTAGTATGAGCACACAATAACCCTCAGATATAAGAGCCAACTGTCTCCTCTTATCTGTGGACAGCTGTCAGTGTATTTGAATACTTTTAACTGTCAACGATGTCTGCTGCTATCAGTTTCCACTGTAGTACTTGCATTATAAGTCACTTACTGTGCAGTATTTCACATTCATTGAAAATAAATGAATGCAGCCTTGTACAAAACCCCTGCATAAAACCTATAATGTTCAGTTTGTTGGTGATAATTTGCATCAATGCATTATACAGAGAGGTGTTTCTGTTATTCAGTCTACCCATGTTAATATAAATGGGATAGTCAAAGTACAAGAAACGCCTGTCTGTTCAACGATACCACCAACGATATGTGTGTCAGTATATCTGTCTTATAACATGGACCTATTCTCTGTGAGATCACCCAAATACTGGATGCTGCATTTCTGAAGATCTGTTGTGAAGCTCAATCTGCTGACTCAGCCTAACCCCCAGCTAATCCAAAGTGGGCAAAGAGGAACAATCATCGAGGAGTTAATACTGCCCAGGCTAGAGTCTAGCGACCTGTGTCTGTATCCAACCGTCACTCAAAGCAGCCCTGCCCTTAAGTTTGCCTAACTGTAAGCCTGAATGTAATTTAGAACGCTAGGTAACATGGAAGTTCACACCCTAGCTCTGTAGACTCCAAGACAGAAGGATCAGTAGAATCTGTTGATATTTCAGGTCAGTCCCTGGTGGCCTTAGAGGTGATCCCCTTTCTCTAGGAATGCCTCGGTGTATCTTCTTTAGATATGTCACTTGTTTGTGGTTCTTCCATTTTCTATATGCTATGTCCTTATCTTCAGTAGTTCAGTAAGTCTAGTGGTGAGACACTGATCCTCAATCTGGAAACTATGTGCTGCTGTTGACACACAGATTCTGTAATACCAATGGGATGTCACACTCACACACACATTCTCTTCTTAACAAAATACTAAAAACCATTAGTAAACACACGCTAAACCTGCCCATAAACAAGAAGTCCAGTCTTTTTTTTATACAAATCTTAGGTCTAGGCTTAGAATTCCCAAGTCAAGTCGAAACTGACTCTTCGACATGGACCCTTTGATTCAAAACTTACAGTAGGTGTGTGATCTGATGTCATGGTACCATCTAAGGGCTGTTTCATATATTATTACTTTAAGGATCATCCCTTTGGAGCAAACATGGACGTGTGCAGAGTGAAGGGAATTTGGACTGAGGATGGAGATGACAGCGGTGGGTTAAGATAGTGAAAGATCTGTCGTGAGCTGTCATGACCCTAACAGGCAGGCGTTGGCACATTTACGCCAACAACCAGACAGGGTCAGAGTGCCTTTTCAGAATAAATGACCTGGCATGTCTGTGAAGAGGAGAGACAAGTGAGTCATGTCTGTATCTTAGATCAATCACCATTTTTTCAGCCTTGATCAGAAGCAGATTCATGTTGGGATCTACAAAGCTGTTATCTTTAACCAGCATCGTGTATCCAAGCTGCCTACAAGAAAACAGTGAGCCATCTATGATCAGCACTATGTCGTGGAATGTCCATTTCCTCTGTTTATCCTCTCATGAGTAACCCATCCGCCTTTAGTTAATAAAGCTTGTTTGTGCAGTGACTCGCACTCTATTTCGGTCTCCTGCTGCTCTCAACCTGACTTCTGCTGTTCCAGTGACCATCTGAAAAACCAACATCAGCTTTTGTAAAGCTGCCACCATGTGTTTACTGCACATCGGTTACACATGGTGAGGCTTTGATCTTCAAACCAGCAGGAGCAAGCAGAAAAATAATCAAAGGAAACATGTTTTTGTTGTTGTTTCAGCATGGAAAGCACCACAGATGGGGAATAAAATCCCTTTTTTATTGTTTCATCTCCACCAAGTGTTCCGAGTAGACTAAGAATACTCACACGCAACGCAAATGCAGCAATCTGTCTCCTCTCTTTTTATTCTCACACCTCCAGACTCCGATGAACCAGGCGTCCACACGCTCCCACTGTATTTTCACCATGCACTTGTGCAGACGCGAGCCGGGCTCGGCCACCGTGCGACGCTCCAAGCTCCACCTGGTGGACTTGGCCGGATCGGATAGAGTGAGCAAGACTGGCCTGAGCGGGCAGCTGCTCACTGAGGCCAAGTACATCAACCTCTCCCTCCACTACTTGGAGCAGGTAGCCACTTCTGAAATGTTCTGATTTGTATTTTAAAAGTACATATTCTATATTAATATTAAAATGTATTTTACTTGCTTCATTTACTGTGTGTGGTTTGGCACAGCCAGTTTAATGCTTTCCCTCACTTGCTTCCTTACAACTCTGATTATTCTGCTCTTGTTCACTTTCCTGTTCTTCAGGTGATCATTGCTTTGTCAGAGAAGAACCGCTCTCATATTCCCTACAGGAACTCCATGCTGACCTCTGTGCTGAGGGACAGCCTCGGGGGCAACTGCATGACTACCATGATCGCCACCATGGCAGTAGACAGGAGGAATCTAGATGTAAGGAGGGTCTGCATACAGTAAAGTCATGTTTAGGCAAAATGTAGGATGCCCATGTCTCCACTGTATTCCAAACATACTTATAAAACGTAATCTGCATAAAGCACAGTATAATTATAGTTTTCGGTATTTATAAATATTCATCATGCTTAATAAGTAAGGGATAATGTCAAGTATTTAAATAAGCCCTGTAAACACACATTATATATAAGAGTGATTATAAGGTATTGTGCAAAGTTTATAATATGCTGCACCAATTGTAATAAGCAGTGAATGACCAGCAATAATACAGGATATCATTAAGTTTATAATACATGAGCATCATAGTACTGATCAGATGTATTGTGCAGGTCCCTCGATTAAGGAGGCGGTTGTTAAATTACAGGCTGTTTTTAACATTATTCAGACTCAGCTCGCTGAGCTTAAGCTTCTTTTAAATGTTGAGAAAACCAAGGTAATGCTCTTTTCTAAAGCTAAAAAGACTCCAGAGACTGCTTTGGATATTGTTACTATGCAAGGACAAGTACTCCAAGTGGTTACCTGTTATAAATACCTTGGTATCTGGCTTGATGATTGTCTTACTTTTAAACTTCAGGTCATTAATCTGCTTAAAAAGCTGAGGGTTAGACTAGGTTTCTTTTTCAGAAACAAGTCCTGTTTCTCTTTTGAAGCCAGGAAAAGGCTAGTCACTGTGACCTTTTTACCTGTGCTGGACTATGGTGATCTGGTCTATATGAATGCACCTGCCCATTGCCTGGAAAAGTTAGATGCCGCCTATCACAGTGCTCTGAGATTTGTTACTAACTGTAAAGCACTTACTCATCACTGTACCCTGTATGCCAAGGCAGGTCTGCCTTCACTTACTGTACGGAGGCTCAGTCATTGGTACATGTTTATTTATAAATCTTTGTTGGGTAAACTCCCGTATTATATCTGCTCTCTGATAACACAGAGAGTTGCAAGCAGCTATTGTCTGAGATCGCATGATGTAGTATTGTTAGATGTGCCAAGAGCAAGGACTGTCTTAGGTAAGACAGCTTTCATGTGCGCAGCTCCACTTGCTTGGAACAATCTTCAGCAAGAATTGAAACTGAGCAATCTCATTCCTCTGCATGTTTTTAAAGCTAGGCTAAATGAAATGCTCTTTGGGCACTTGTAAATGTCTATAACTATGTAAATGTATCCTGTAAATATAATGTATGATGTCCTTTATTGTTTTATGTTTCATGTGGAACCTATATGCTGCAGGTCTCCCTTGAAAAAGAGATCTATGATCTCAATGGGACCAATCTGGTTAAATAAAGGTTTGAAATGAAATGAAAATAGAAAGTGTCACTGAACATTCGGCCAAAATAGTGAGGAGAAACGAGGTTTCTGAAAGAGAAAAACATATAGGCCATTTGGTCTTCAAGCTTTGTCCGTAATGCTTTCAGATAACCCAAGGTAAAATAAATATTAAGAACATTGTTGTCCTCTTTGTTGAGTCTTTGCTTGAGTAAATGTTTCAAATGATTACTACATTGAGAAGAAGTTCAATTCTTTCTTAAGGCAGAAAAACAACATTCAAACATCTTTTTGAAACGTTATTTCTTCAGGAGTCCATCTCCACGTGTCGCTTTGCTCAGCGTGTGGCTCTCATCAAGAACGAGGCCATCCTGAATGAAGAGCTGGATCCTGCCCTGGTGAGACACACACACACTCATAGCACTTCACCAGTCACTACAACCACCATTCAGCCACACAATCGCACCACAGAAGCATGACTTCATGTGCTCTGTCATTACGGCCAGACTCTCCTCATATCTTCCAGACCTTAAATTGATCAGCAAATGAGTTGCAGTGAGAATAAAGCATCTGAATGTAACCCAGTTTCCAATACAAAATGAGTTTTTCCAGTGTCTCACACACACAGTAATACTGAAAGAAACAGTTTTCCACCTGCAACACGTGGACGCCTGTCCATCTTCTATTATTTAGACTGCTCACAGGTCCTGTTTGCATTCCCTCTCTGCCTTGTTTACATGCCTCCACTTCTGTTATGGCATATTTTATACCAATACCTTACAGCCTCTTGAGAAAGCCTCCAGCTTGATACTGGTGTGTATACAGTATACGTCTTTACACACATTCATGCAAGGAAGCACGCATTGCACGCATTCCTTGCCAGATGTTGTCAATCTGAGGACATCGTTTTTTTGTTAATTTTTTGTAAATATCATTACCCCCGACAAGATTCATGGCTAAACTACTGACCTGATTTACATTAAACCTTTTGGAAGGGGGTATCATGGGCCAAGAAAGAACCCAATAATTCATAGCTTTCTTCAGTAGCTATAAAGTCTGAATACATTTCTATTTTATGTTATAATAATATTGGGAGGGATGAAACCCTCTTTAATGGTCACACATGCAGAGCACACAGCACACACAGTGACATTTGTTCTCTGCTTTTAACCCATCCTAGTGCCAGGAGTCTAGTACTAGGAGCAGTACTAGACCCTTATATAGGGTCAATTCATTGATGTAACATATGTGGTTACAGAGGCCTCTTCATTGTTATATAAACCCGACACAAATGTCCAAATCTACCTTATATTACACTCTGATATACATTATATAAGTTATTGGAAATCAGCAGATTGCCAGAGAAGCTTATGCAGGTTAACCCTCCTTCGCTTCCTCCTTTTACAGTACTTGTCACACCTTCCCCCATTGTAGTGCGCCAGGAAGTAGATCTGGTAGTTGTTGTAATAGCCCCGCGGGGGATATACAGTAGTAAGTCATCACAGCCATATCCGCTTCCTCCCCTCCCACCCAGATCTGCCTGAGGATCAACTGCTACTGTATTACTGTTAGTGAGACTTGGCTGGCCACTTGCAAACCCTGCAGAGGTATTTTTAAGAGAGTCTGCGGCCGGCGCAGTAATTGTGACAGTGTCTGGCTGCTCCCGGCACAGTTTCAACGCCAGGCAAACCCAAAACTCTGCAGGCAAACTTCTCGTCTCCGTTTATGGCTCTTTGGTGTGTTTCTCATTTAGTCCGTTTCTCCCGTCTCTCTGTCTCTCCCGTCTCTCTGTCTCTCCCTCTATCTGTCCCCCTGGTTTACTCAGAAAAAAAAGTTAAGCAAGCAGGGCAGTTTGCAGATTAGAATGATGTCATTTATCGTGGTTTGGGGTGACACTCAGACTCCCGTTTTGGCCTGGCCCCCGTCTGAAGGCACACTGTCTGTTGGCCCTGCCGGCTGTGGTAATTGATTTGAAACCTGGAGTTTGCCTTTTTCACAATCTGGCAGTGAGAGTTTGGTACATGGTTCAGACCACATGCTGCCCTAATGGTCCTGTGCTATAGCCTGCAGGCTACACAATGCACTTTGTCAAATTAAGAACAGCAGGAAACCAGACAGACCCGACAAAACATTGAACACGTCTCTGAGGGAAAAGGGAAAGAATGAGGTGTTGAAAGTGACCCGTGATCATAATGAAGTCAGCCATGGTGACCACGCCATATAAGGTCTGCTCTGTGGGTCTTACGGTTGCCTTCAGACTGCAGGCAAAAGGCGCCTCAACCTGATTTTTTTGAATATGTGAACCTATATTTTGCACATGTGAACCTATTTCAACAGTAGGAGAAGCACAAATAGCATGGAATCAGTATTGTTCAATTCTCCTTTGTGATGATATATTTTTGACTTAATTCTGCTCTCGCTTGAGTTACTGGTATACAAATATCAGGATAGATGGCATGGAGGTAGTGTTATTGTGTATATATAGCTAGTTTCCATAGTTAGTATAAATAAGTATTATTAAAGGGGCCCAGTCATGCTTTTGAGGGTTTTCCCTCTCTTTTGTAGTGTGTTTATATAGGTTGTATGTGCATGTAAATGGTCTGCAAAGGCTTAAATCTCAAAGTTACCTCCAGAGGGAGTTATCAGGCTGATCCTGCTATGCAGTAAGAATGATTAATTTCATATTCATCAATTCAGTTAAATATAAAGCTACTAGATCTTCTATAAAGCGTCCACCTTTTCCTGATTTTAAGTGTGCACTTAAAACTTGAGCATTGCATGAAGGAGGTGCTAAGCTTGAGTTGAGCGGAATCGCCATCAAGATCATTCTTAAAGGGTCAAAAAAGTTGATCTTAAGGTGTTGTTATGCAGCTTAGGGTTATAGGAGGCTGGGCGACCCTCCTGAACCTCGACTCTCCTCATTCTCAAAGATACACAAGTCTTGCTTGAGAAGACAGCTCTGATTAGCACATACCTGTGAGTCAAACAGAATCCTGCTTATAGCCCACCAGAGAGACATGTTTGTGAAGAGGGTGTGAACATTCCTGCGGGTGGTTGCTCTCCGCAGGTCCTCGTCCAATAGCCCGGACTTCTTTAAGACAGAAGAGAGTTTGTAAGTGCAGCGGTGTGACTCAGTACAGTGCTCTTTGCCTTAAATGCCTTAATGGTGCCATGCATGGAACGCAGCCTTGCCCCTGTTTATGTGCAGTGGTAGACTATGACTCCTCTTCATTCATAAAAAAGGCCACATTATAGCAGCATGTGTGTGAGTGGCAGACTATATTATAAATGCATCTAAGGTGTAACCTGTGGTTAAGCTGTAGTGCTTACCGTTTACTGTGGGTGGTTTGCTGCAGAGGTTGGATAGTAGAAGATGTATAATTTAAGGCAGAGTTTGGATGTTTTGAAGTGGGGTTGTATGAGGTACTTATCCACAGGCAGTATATTTCCTACAGTAGATGCACACCCCCAGTTTGGAGAATTACTGCACGGAAGTCAAGCAATGTACTGCTGTGGCTGGGGGCAGCAGCAACACTTATTTCAGCCAAATAAAAAAAGGCTCACCAAAAGGTTTAAGTATGCACTGTATTTAAAATATTTGCAGGATACAAAATTATAAAAATGATAAAATCTCTCTGTATATGTATATACATTAACATACGTAAGATCAAATATAAAGACGATATTACATAAATCAAATGAAAGTACATCAATAGGCAGGTATACAGTTACAAGAAATCAACAAAAGATAATTGCAAATTAACCAAAGCCACACAATGACTACAAATAAACTGACCGATCCATCCATGATTACCCCCTTTTTTTGCAAGGTCAAATTACCGTTTTTTCAAAAGAGTGTCAGGGTTTTGGCAGAGTGGAAACATGGACTGTAAGACTATGCAACTGCAGGGTAAACGCGTAAACATATTCGAAATATAGCGTTCACACAAACCACTGTTAATATTATGTGCTGGGCCTTTCTTTGAGGTGACAGAATAAGTAGTGGATAACAGTCAATGTAATAAAGTGACTGTGGATAAGTACCCTACAACCATATTTAATAACATCCAAACTATCCTTTTTAAGGAAGTACTGTTTTAAATAATGTTTCAAACTTCATTGAGTAGCATATTTGGCAGCACATATAAAGCAATACAGATATTCATGTGCTTTTTGCATGCCATCACAGTTATAATAGGCATGTGGAATTATTTCACTGACTTGGTTTCAATTGAATAGGAGTCATATTTATTCAGAGTGTATAGCATGCAGTGGTGCTGTGGTACCAGCGTGGGCCCGGCGCTCTGAAATAGACTGCCCCGTTCCGCTGACCAACGACTGGCGGTCATTTTTTCAGGATGCAGCTGGAAGGATTACATCAGGCCCCGGGCTCCAAAGAAGAGATGCAGGGAGCGGCTCTGGTGAGGGATGGTCAGCTATGATGTTAGAAAATATGATACGGGTGGATTTTAGCTGACATTTTGCATTTAGCTAAGTGGCATCTACCCAAAACCACACTGCAGGTCTGTTTCTCCTCCAGAGCATCTCGAGTTGACAATGTCTGACTGTATGACTGGCTTTGACTTTCCGCTTACAACATGTGTTTGTGAGAACTGGCGGGCCTTTGCTGTATTAGATGTCGCAGTCTGACCTTTGTCCCTGATTTATTTTACTAAACAACCAAGCTCCCTAGCGACTTTGTGTCAGGAGTCGCCACTTTGTGTTGTATTTGCTGTTTGCCGCTGATACCGTTCCAGCCCTTCAGTCTGCTTTAGTATTTCGCAGTGTGGTCGAATTCGGTTGTTATAGTAAAGTGGGATTTATACTGAAGAAAGAAGTGAATCATGTGAGAAAAGGAAAAGGTTTTAGTGTGTCGTTTTGTGGTGTTATTTGTGCGTATTTTTTTATTTCAACTGGTCTGGCTTTCTTTCAAAAACACCATTCATTGATTTTGGTCTTGGCCTATTTCCCCACCATCGACATGTGATTACACCACTTCTGTTAGGATGTAGGGTAGAAAGGTCATCCTCTGATTCCTTTTTTCAAGGTATTTGGCCAGTTTGAGGGACAATTTGTCACCTTTTGATGTGAATCTTCAATTAGTGTTAACTGAAAATGTAGTCCATTCAAGCGATTAATTCCTCAGTGTTCACTATATTGACAGAGAACTTAGTTTTCCTACGGGGGATCCTACCAGGAGTGCCTACATACCAGGATGCATGTGCACTGCTGATGTCAAGCCAAAATAAATTAAGCCTACACATGCATGCAGGTAAATATTAAAAAATACAAGGTCTGTAAGGTCTGTAGTCCAAACCAGCAAAAAACAACGTTGTGGATATTGGATGACAGATTACAGCTTCACTCCTTCTGTTTTTTACTTACACACAAAGGATCCCATATTCACTTTTGGAAACGTAAAAGGTTTGCAAAACAAGAGAAAATAACTCTCTGTTTTTGAATGGCATCTAAAGCAACCCCCTTGGCTGAAATAGCAGTCTAAAGTTCTTCCTTGCCTCTTTCTACATCAGTCTTACACCAAAAGGCGGCTCCGGATGCAAGAGGGACTTCAGATTTTGCAGCAGGAGAACTCCACTTTAAATGTATTAACAGTAGCAGGCACTGAGGAATATATTGCCTTAAATTAACATCAACACTGATTGTATATCCACTTAAAAAGTGGATAATATCTCTTTAAATATCACACACAATTAGCTGCAAAATAAATCAAGCTGTAGGGTAATCCTTCTTTATTAGTCGTGTGTTTATGTATGTATGTGGCCACGTTCACATTTAATCACAGCACCTCAGGTTCAAGTTGAGGTACACGCTAATAACTGCTCAGCATCAATATAAGGGCACATGTCAAGTGAGCTCACCTCTAACCTCTTGCTCCTGTTGTGAAGGAGGAGATTTATGATTTAATCCATTTTAACAGAGAAATGAAGTATGAAAAGCACAGTTAGTAATGTAGAGAGCTTTCTTTCAAAAGTGTAGAAGTTACGGCATCAGCATCATGTGATACATTACTTTAATTTATCACCATTACTTGTTCAAACAAATAACGTTTTTTATTTTTATAAACCTGGCAGCTCCTGTTTAGGTCAACCAAACACATCTCATTATCAACGGAGCATTAAAAACACAGAAAAAAGCCAAAACAACATTTTTGAAGAAGTTCTATCCCTTAAGAACACCTATTATTGTTAACATCAATTCTTTATTGCTGCGTCTTTACATACGCGCAATGCATTTATGATCTGAACTCGCTAATCCTTGAGGTGCTAGGTAGCTAGACGCCTGCTAATCCCTGCCTAGACTGACATGAGGCCGCTCAGACTGACCTCTGTAGGCATGGAAAAAGACTAAAGGTTATATGTCAACAACGCCGGGCCCTGACACATCTGTATTTGGTGGATCCTGCTTTCATGTCATAGATTTCTCATCATATCTGGTTTAATGAAAAAGACTGTCAGGTGGAGAAGGCAGTACCTGGGGTGCACAGATTGGAAAACATATTGCTGTCAGTATAAATCAGTGGAACGATGCTACAAGCTGTTTATGAAAACAATGTCCGGCACTGTCATATTGTCTCTCCTCTCATCATGATTTTTTTAAATAATAGACATTCCTGCTGTTTTATTTTTAAAAAGATTGCTATCTAAGTACTTATTTAAGAAGCTATGTCTGGACTTGGTGAGATATTTTACTTTTTTAGATATATATGCAGTAACCAGAGCCGGCCAGCGGTTACTAACAGCAACCACTCTGTTGGCTCGGTGCGGATGGCCTTAACCAAACACGTGTGGACAGTCAGCAGCACAGTGAACTTTTCTTTTGCCATCGTAGCTTTAATGCTGTTTTTATGTTTTGCTTCCTGTATTTTCTCGCTGGGGCATGCAGTTGTCTGGAATCACTCAAGTTTGTCCTCAAAATGCATCAGAAAGAGGATCATTTTCAGACGGATTGTCTCATCACTTGGCAGCAGCAGAAATCCTCTGTCTGCAGCGCTACTGTGTCTTTGTTTTGTACTGTCGGTGAAAGTATCGTGCATCGTGTGTGTATGTGCACACATAGTCGACCTGTAACCGTGCTTTTTGTGTGTTTTTCAGCTAATAGCCCGTCTGAAGAGGGAGATCCAGTCTCTGAAGGAAGAGCTGGCCATGTTAACGGGAGAACAGAGGGACGGGCAGCTGACTGTGGAGGAGATCCAGAGGTTTGTCCCCTCAATCCACTCGGTTCTGCAAAGTTATTATTTTAAACGTTTTTTATAAAATATGTCAGAAAAAACACAGTAACATAAATCTAACATATTAATAGCAAAGAGATATTGGCCTATTTGTATCCAACAGCAACAACATTTAATTTACATATCATCATCATTGATGATATTTTTATATGAGCTAGCTAACCTCTCCTAAATCACTGCACTGTGTGGCAGTTGGCTATTATATATTTTGGTGTCGTACTATTGTAAACACTATAAAAAAGGTCACTAAATGTAATTGTAGGCCCAGTTTATCATGACCAAGAGAACAAGATGGCGAATACAAGCGGCTGAAGCAGTTTTCCTCCGGAGGGTGGCTGGCGTCTCCCTTCGGGGTAAGGTGAGAAGTACAGCCATCCAGGAGGGACTTGGAGTAGAGCCGCTGCTCCTTCGTGTTGAAAGAAGCCAGTTGAGGTGGTTCGGGCACTTGGTAAAGATGCCACTCAGCAGCCTCCCTAGGGAGGTGTTCCAGGCACGTCCAGCTGGGAAGAGACCGAGGGGCAGACCCAGGACCAGGTGGAGGGATTATATCTCTTCTCTGACCTTGGAGCACCTTGCAATCCGCGAGCTGGTTGATGGGAAAGGGAAGTTTGGGGGCCTCTGCTGGAACTGTTTCTCTGGCAGCCCGACTCCGGATAAGTGGTGGAAAATGGAAGAAAAATGTCCAAGTCTGAGTTAGATAAGACTGCCGGTAAAACTATTTTATGACGCCCATCTCCATAATGCAGCCATCTCAGGACAGACATGTACTGCCTCTAGGATGTTTAAGTATACGTCGGACCCAGGGAAGGGAGCAGATGGTCGTTTTTTGGACTCTGATTTGTATTTGTTGAGCTCCAAAACCCCAGAGATTCTTGAGCAAATATGCTTCAAGATGTATAAGTATTTGGGGTTTGCCTAAAGTGCCTACATAACTTATGCTGCTGGCTATGCACTGATGCTGAGTTGAAACCTCATTCACTGAGGCTTATCCAGATCTAATGGAGTTTCCCAGGACTGCTCTCTTTAGACTTTAGGCAGAGGGAGCCAGCGACTCAGGCCAGAGTTCAGGACAGAGGTTCCAGCGAGGACTTGGCACACCGCCCCTTCAGCGCTGATGTATTTACAGTGCCTCAGTCCCCTCAGTCAGCCTTTTTATTATTTCCTCTCTACCCAAGTGATTATCCTCGATTTCCCCCTGTTTGTGGTCAAACTCACACATCCTTTATAGCTACATTCACTGGACATGCTGACTTTTTTGTAGTCGTTTCCTCTCTGTTCTATGCCCTGATTCATCCCCAGTGCAGAGTGATTTCACATATCTTTGCTTATTTTTTGTCACATTTCCAAACGCTCATATATTGTCAGGCATACAGATCGTTTTACCTTTCCAGAAGCATACTCTGCTCCATTCAGTGCTTTGTAAGATTCAGTAATAATCCTCTCCCCATGCAGGCTGAAGTTGTTTCTCTTAATACGGTATTTGTTTGCTCTACATGCTACATGACATTTCACCTCGCACTTTGGAAAACTCATTAAGAAACTCTTAAATTCTGCTGTTTAAAAGATGGATGTCTTTCCTTCTTACAAAATATTGTACATGGCACTAAAGGGCATTCCCCAGAATCAAACCTAGTATCACAAAACCTCTGATGTCTCGCAGGGCCCTGAAACAAGACCGCTACGTTTGTTTTAAGTCCTTTGTCATGTAAACCGAGCGTGTTTCTACACTGAACATGACAGTGGAAAATGAAAACCGCACGTTGTCGTGCCTACATCGGATCCGTCTGGACGGCTGCCGCGGTCTTTTCCAGCGGCCGGGTCCAGAGCTCAGAGAACCAATGTTTGGACTATCATCCAGTGATAGTTTATCAACAGGGCCGGCCCAGTGGAGCTGAAGCACACGTTTAAGTAAATAGTTTTCTTTGAGCAGACCCACATTTTAAACACTCCCCAGATATAAATATTAACTCTTTGAGTGTGTGATGATTATAACATGGAATGTGGCACTGGTTTGAGGTTATGTGTGTGTGTGTGTGTGTGTGTGTGTGTGTGTGTGTGTGTAGGTTGGAAGAGTTAGTCAAGGCCTTTCTGGACGACCCTGATCCAGACGTGATGCTGTCGTTGGGACCAGACATGAGAAAGATCCAGTTCTGTTTCTCCCTGCTGAAGGTAATACTCCTCAGTCTATCCGTGTATCCATGTACAGCATTTGTATGCATATCTCCCTGTGTCGGTGTCTTTCTTTCCTTCTCTCTGAATCTGCTCAGGAAGCCAGGCCACAGGTAACTCTGATGCATATCAGTGCAGGTTTTTTCCGGAATGATCAATCAAAAACTGTCAACATCTGTGCTTTTATCCTTATCTGTGTACTGAGTGTCCTTCCACTCTTTGACACTCTGTGACTGCAAACGCTCAAAGAGGCTTTTATACGGTCCTGTTTTTACGTTTTAGTCACTATTCATCATGACAGTCAGTCGATTTGCAATGTACCTTAACTAATAATCAGTTATTTCTTTGTGATACCAACGCACATGCATGCTGCTTGACTTCCCTAAATGGGTACTGATGAGGCAGGATAACAGTCAAGAAAACTCTCCAATCAAAAAGGTACCTGACAGTCTGTATGCCTTCATGTGTACTCTTTTTGGTTTGTTGGTGTGAAAGCTCCCAAAGTGTTAGTGCTTGAGGTCCATTGGCACTATAGGAGTGAATGGATAGAGCACATTTGATCAATTGACCAATCCCTTCCTCCAAACAGCTCCCTCTAGTGTCCTCCGCCTGAAAATGCCTTAATTTTCATTGAGTAAAATGTCCTCTCTTAATACATGTGATTTTTGTTACTGTAGATTTTTACTCTATCATCATAAAGCAAAAGTAGAATAGTTTCACTGATCATGATCATCATGATATTTAACGTAGGTCCAACTATAAGCTAACTTCAAATGCTTTATTCTTAAGGCTACCGCCAGACGTAGGCAATATTTTGCAATCCACTGATGCACAATTATTTTCAGTACTGTTGATTTCCCCACGGTCTAGAGTCTAGACACTTGGTGTTTTTCAGTTGTTTGCCATCTAGTTAGAGGCAAGGTGTAACGTGACATGCAAACGTTAACTAGCTCTTAAGATATGTCACAACAGCTAAAAAAAGAAATTCTGCCTATTAGTCATAAACAGAAAATGAACCAGCAGTAACTCATGAGTTATAAACTTTGATCCGAGCAAATAATTAAGCCAACATATAAAACCTTTTCGGGTTCTGAATGAAAAAAACACACACTTTCTGATATTGTATAAGTCAAACACTTTTCACACACAAAAATATCAAATTAACTCATTAATCGAAAATGTAAAAGCACTAATATTTGCTGAAAGTAAGCTCATGTATTAACCTGTTGAATGGGTCAGTAAACATATGATTCCATCATTATAAAACACATATATATATACATGTATATACAGTATATATATATATATACATACATACATATACACTGCCATATTAATGGAACTTTTTTTTTAATTTCAGGTCATTGTAAATGTTGTATTCTCTATGTTTTATTTGGGAACTGGATGACTTCTTTTAAATGAATGTCATATTTGTTTTTCCAGTGTAATTTCTATAAAAGTGGAGTCAGGGCATCATTTTGGTTTTGGCTGGGTGCCCGATCCACCGACTATTTGTCATGCAGACTGCAGTGGAAATACTTCCCAATTGCATGTCGCCTGCCAAATGTTTGCAGAAAACATCAATTATTAAAGTTTTTGTTTTGTAGAAAGTCAGATGGATTATAGACGGTGCTCAACATTTCTAAGACTGCAACCCACTGCTGCTAAAGGAGCATAGGGGAAACACTGCGGGGCTCACACTGTTCCTGCACTCCGCTGGTTGTAGTTCGAGCAGCGGACCAGAAGCAGTTCCAGATCCCACTTGAATGACTGTTTATCTCTCCTTCACTTTGTTATGATCCGCATGCTCTATCTCCTGTTCAGTTTACATTCTTCTGAGCATCACCCCAGTCACACTTCACTGAGGAACTTGGATCTGCTTTGAATTGATTCCTTTCTTCTTTGTTCTCAACACTGGCTCCCTCTCACACGCTCCGCTTGTCTTTGTTTCAGGTTGAGGTTCAGAGGCCGTGCATATCTGCAGTGTGATCTCAAGCACTGTGAGTTTAGGTGTGCAGCTCAACCTCTGTGTTTTAGCACTTAAAATGAATGTGAAAATGAATAACAGTAGAAAATAAAAAAACTTAAATATACAATAAAAACATCTAAAATAATAAAACAGAACTAAAAATAAAAATAAATACATGTTGACAGTGAAAGAAATGAATCTGTAGACTATCAACTATACGCTATGAAGGGCCAGTTACTGCTAACAACATTTTAAAGTATGATATAAAAGAATAAGGATAATTAAAAGTATAAATACCTTTATCTGAAAATACTCCAGACAAGTAAAAGTCCTGAATTCAAATTGTTACTTAAGTAGAAATATAGAAGTATTGACAGTAATAACTTAAAGTACTGTATCAAAAGTAAAAGCACTCAATATGCAAAATGGCTCTATTAAAAGTATTATATTATAGAACATGAATTTATTACGTTTTAATTGCTTCCTAATACACGTAAGACCATGTAAATATTGTAGTTTGTCGATATTGACAACATTTTAGGATATTGTTTGCATCATTATCATATAAAAAAAATTGTTTTTATATGTAGACAGTAGTGTGTTAAATAAATCAAGTGGAGTAAAAAGTACAATAAATGCTTCCAAAATGTAGTGGTGTAGAAGTATAAAGTAGCATCAAATGGAAATATTCAAGTAAAGTATAATGATGACAAATCAGTACTTAAGTACAGTACTTGGCTAAATGTACTTTCCACCATTGCCCAAAAGTGTCTCGGTCTCAGCCCTCCTGTGTACCTTTCTCTTCTACCGTGTCTTCTTCTTCTCCACGTGGAAAAAGCTCCTATCCTCTAACAGGTTTCCCACCTGTCGTTAAGCCTGGATTACAGACAGGGAAAATACAGGGGAATCAAATTCATGTTTAGGGAATATCACGGAATTTAGAGGAGCACCACTTTCCAGGATGATACCACGATGTGTTTTCCAGCTTGTTTACATTCATGGCATCAGATGGTTGTTTACTGACTGTTTTTCTCAACAGCAAAGTGTAGAACATTGACTTGCAATGTAATCATGAAAAGCCATTAAAGGAGACATTTAACAAGAGTTTTAAAGAATAAAATGTCATACCTATAGAACAGTGCTTCTCAAAGTGTGGTCCGCGGACCACTGGTGGTCCGTGAGCGCCCCACTGGTGGTCCGTGAGCGCCCCACTGGTGGTCCGTGAGCGCCCCACTGGTGGTCCGTGAGCGCCCCACTGGTGGTCCGTGAGCGCCCCACTGGTGGTCCGTGAGCGCCCCCTAGTAGTCCGTGAGTATATTGGTAAAATTTCACATTTGAAATAAATAAATACATTTAACTTTTCCGCACTCAATATCTCCGCAATGGAGCGAGCTTACATTTCACGTTCGATTGCATGATATAGCCCAGCGCAACACCTTCGTCACACATGTTGCCACTTGTTCCTACCATTTCCAGGGAGACCATGCAAGCCATCCCAATGGTCACCAAGATTCATGTTTTAATAGCATTTCTTTTTTCTAACGTGAAAAAATGGCTTAGACCTCAGAGAGTTAAACTTGGACCTGCGACCATAGTTTTCATCTCTCAGTAGCCAACGATCTGTGAGTCTGTTGGCTCGGACATAAACTCTGTAATAAATGTAGTCTACATTTCATAAGAGGTGTAAAACCTGAGCATTTTAAATCGCATTTGAACGAAATGCTTATATAATCTGTAGTTGTATTTGTATTGTTGATTTAATGTGTGAACGAGGCGATATAAAGAAGTTAAGCTGTCATTATTAGGCTGTAATTTGTTATATGCTGTTGGAATGGTAAGCAGGCCTATTGTTTTTGGATATTTGGGGAGTTAGGTGGTCCGCAAGTTTTTTTTTATTGGTTAAGTGGTCCTTGGTATGAAGAAGTTTGAGACCCCATTTACACGGGAACGTTTGCGTTTACGCACCATATGCGTTTTCAAAAAAGTCTTCCGTTCACACGCATTCGGCTCAATTAACGTGTCCGTTCACACGAGACCGCTCGACCCGCTGGAAACGCTGTAGTACATATGCCGGGCCTGTAAGTTGCGCTGCTGCCGCCACAAAATACACCAAAAGCAGCGAAGAAGACCCCGGAGCATGGTTGCCATGGTTGCCCTTCTGTTTATTCTCCGTGGTGGACGGCGTGTGCTCCTGCTGTAAATCTCTCCGGTAGTCCACCAGCAGATGAAAAACACCCACCTCTCCGCCTCTTCCAAGGGACGAGGGAACCATGTATCAAAATTCAAAAGATTCAAAGGAACAGTTCAGCGCCCCACGACTTTACTGCAAACAGTTACAACCTTGACTTTACATCAGAAAGAACAAACATTAAAGAAGTGACTAACTGCATAATTTAGGGTTAAAAAACGTGTATTCAGCTAAAACATATACATCGCTGCAGAGTTATTATCCAGTGGAAAGTCCTTACCTACTGGCCTAGTTAAATCAAAGTGGTTACTTTTTTGTGGCTGGGCAGTGTAGTTTTACACACCGTCTTTGACTTTCTCAGGACTTAAAGGTGGGGAAGGTAAGTTTGAGAAACCGGCTCGAGATACACTTTTTGTTATATTCCATGGAATGCTCTTAACATCCCGATAGCAATGAATATCTTAAGTGCTTTGACAAAAAATCCATAAAAAAATGTCATCTGTAGAAGCCGTAATACTGTAAAAAGCACGACCAATCATTTTAGCCGGCCCGGCTAAAATAACTGGATGGCCTACCTGCCTGTCAGCCTTCCATCTGTGCACAAACTTATCTCGTGCCCTCATTGGTCATGTGCGCGTTCGTGTGTGTTGGAGGAGGGGCTCTATAAGGAAGTGGCAGATTTTCTCCGGTTGTGTATTTTCAAATTCTAGCGATCTCGAGCCGGTTTCTCAAACTTACCTACCCCACCTTTAAAACTGTTTTTTGGGGGCAGACCCCCACAAAGAAAATTAAATATATACACACATAAGGTAATCATCTTAAAGGTAGGGTAGGTAAGAATGGAGAAACCAGCTCGAGTGCGCCAGAATTTGAAAGTACACAACCGGAAAAAATCTGCCTCTTCCTTCAGACTTCCTTACAGAGCCCCTCCTCCAACACACACGAACGCGCACATGACCAATGAGGGCACGAGATAAGTTTGTGCACAGATGGAAGGCTGACAGGCAAGTAGGCCATCCAGTTATTTTAGCCGGGCCGGCTAAAATGATTGGCTACGGCTTCCACAGATGACATTTTTTTATGTATTTATTGTCAAAGCATTTAATATATTCATTGCTATCAGGATGTTGAGAGCATTCCATGGAATATAACAAAAAGTGTTTCTGAAGTGAATTACCTACCCCACCTTTAACAGTTTTTTATGCTCATCGAGTCATCCGTGAGCAGAGCATCAAGTTGGCATGCCTATTGCAGCTGAATGCGGCGATTACCATTTTGTTCAGCAAAACACCTCACAAACTGATTAAGATCCAAAGCTTTAGTGCGTTTTGATTCAATGCTGAGTACAGCCAAACTTGACAGTCTCTTCTCTGTCATTGTAGACCGCAAATACCTCATTCCTTCCTTGCGTCCGAATGCTTCTCGTTTTGCGCCTTCCCCCCGTTCAAATTAAATCGCCGCCAATCATATTTCCAAGCTCGCGCCAGGGCCGGGGGAGGGGTTACAAGACTCGCGTCTTGTGCTGCATTCACTTGCACTTGAGATTTTCTCTCATAAATGTCCGATGAGCCACAACTTTTCTTTCAAAACAAAGATGCCAACTGGGGTGGCAGCTGGGGTGGCAAGGCTATTTTTTAGGGTGGCAACTGCCACCCCATGCCACCCCGGTAGATCCGCCCCTGCCCCCAGAGCGTTCCGTTTGCAGATCTATCCACCTTGGGTCGGGAACCGTTATCGTTTGCGGGGTCCGTTTATATCGTTTTGTTACGGCCTCGTGTAAACGAAAGGGCTATACGCAAGATGAACTATGCGGATACAACCTGTATTGTCCTTGTGTAAACGGGGTCTGAAAAACACTGCTATAGACAGACTATAACAACCAGATAATTTAATTCTTAACAATATCTTTACAAAAATCTTGATCAATATCCCATGTGAAAAAGAAGCCATTTTCTTAACTTGCATTAAATCAACAGTTAGCATTTGTGTTTTTTAAACAGATGATGATCATGGACAAGCAAAGAGGAGGGAATGGGAACGCTGATGGGAAAGCATCACCGACAGCAGCTGAGAGGGAAGACAGCCAACAGTCAGCAGCAGAAGTCACCAAACTGAAGGAGATGATGACCCACCGTGACAATGAGATCAGTATCCTTTGACCTGGTGGAGCCATCTTAAGTATTCTTTCCATGATTTGTTGTTTCCTTGTCTTACACAGACCATAAGTCTGTTATTGATCGTCTGGTCAGAAGATTGGGCTACACTTACTTGCTTTTTGTTTAAATAGCCAAAGTTATTTCTGCTACAGAAAGGACTTTCAGATGGTGACAGATGACTGCAGTCGATTTAAAGTTACATTTAAAGACACAGATCTTTTCTTTTACCATCTTTCCTTCAAAGTAAAGGTAAATACCTATGTAACTTTTTTGTTGTCTGTCCTGCACCAAAGCAGTTTTTAGGCATTATTTAAAAAAGAAAAAACAGCTTAGTAGCTTAGTGCCAATTCTTCACCGGAAAGTCGGCGGGCCGTCATTTCGCCAGGCAGTGCAGTAGCGCTACTGTCATGGTAACGGCCTCGGTGAATGTTTGCGCTCTCCAAAATGCCCTTCTAGTTGCTTCTCTAGTGTATGTGTGTGTCAGAGGTGCAAAGTTCCTGTCCACTAACGGAGAGCTTTCCTGGGCTTGATTCCCTGTCGTACTACGTTTGGCTTGTTTGTGCAAATTTAACACACCTCGTCCTTTTATCTCATCTATGAGTTGATGCACCCTGCATATTGTAGTGTGATAAAAGGGGATGGCGTTAAACGGAAAAGGTAAGGTTAGGAAGTGCAGATCTGAAATGAGAATTCCAAACTTGTAGTAAAACGAGGGAAAATGTGCAATAACAAACTGAGTAGAGTCGGTTTCAATTTTAAGTTCTGTTTCTGCATCCAGCCTCACAGTTTAATCACACTTCCTGTTAATAGTGATATCTTCATTAGCCAAAAACGGTATTCACCCTAAAGTAAATCAGCCTTTGTTATTGCACGTTTGGATTACAGCGTTTCTACAAACACATAAATTATGAAATCTAAGTTGTCTTGCCTTCATCACCAGTGCCCCAAAGTAAGCATGAGATGTTGTTTTAATGTGTATGTTCACATATATCTTCATCCAATGACTGCAGTTTATCATCGTTACTATTAATCATAATTATGGCATTTGAATATGATATTTCTAATAGCTTTATGGGATTATTCTCCCCTCTACCCCTCGTGCTGCGGCTTGTCATTAGATCACAGCACATTAGTCAAAAAACGTTGAGACGTCTGCTTGATTATTTAGCCACAGAAACCTCTGCGCTCCAAAATAAACAGAATATTATCATGCAGATATTTCACCACAGTATTTCTTGGAACAAGTCGGTGTAATGGGAAATCCTCCCTTCTCCTCTCCTCTTCATGTCATACACTGGGTTTCACATGATGCAAAAGTAATCACTCAAATTAGTACTGTGCGTGTTTAAAGGCGCACATTTCAGCCAGTAATGTACACGCTCGGTTGACCATATTCCCCTTATGTTCTTTCTTTGCAAGGTTTATATATAAAGTTTCAGTAGCCTAAACTATCAAACCTCACAGTTGGGGGGGGGTCTGTCTGCAGCATGTAACTCTATAGTTTAGGTTGACCAACGCTGCAGGGATGACATTAGTTCCAGCCATATCATTTATTTCCCAGTTCTCACAGGGTTAATTATGGCAGAGTTCCTTGTAAAACAAAAGGTTTTATCTCTCCCCCTGTGTTCCCATGCATGGTCGGTGGGGCACCTGGTAATGCTTAGTGGACTTTGCAAGGGTTGTGACACATCCACCACTATGATAATTGAGCAACAAAGAGGAGTTTGTAACTAAGTTAAAATGTTGTTATACAGTCATTCCTTGATGCTTTTTTGGAAGTTCCTAATGCCTCCATGCTGGCGATAGGCTCTTAATACGCTTGGCTAGATGTGATATATTTTCGAGTTGTCAAATTCAAATTCAAATGTGTTGTCAAATTCTTTTGAATCTGAAATCTCGGGAAGGCGTCAAGGATTTATTTTTTAAGGGTGTTTTGGCCAAGATTAGCCTTTATTGGAGAGTGACAGTGTGAAAGGGGGAGACAGAGCGAATGGAAATGTGCAAATGGTCCCAAGCTGTCCCGTTACATGGGACACTTCTACAGGGGTAGCCAGACCTAGAGGAAATATATTAAAATGTGCCAATCATTTCCAATTGACTGACTCAAGGATAAACTTATTAGACTCGACTCGCCAAAGGTCACCTAACAGAACTTGTTTGTATTTTTACCATATTACTATAACTTAGATGATGATTATGCACAAATGTCTTAGATGATACAATTATGAGATTTTGGTCAAACATGGATGTAATTTCAACTTCACTGATTGGCGGAGGCATACAAACTTAAGGCGGTAATTATAGTTTGTAAATCTGTGCTAGCAATCTACAGAACATTTCAAAGAGAGGACCAATAATATTCACAAATTGCCGATAATACAGTTTCATTTTCGCTTGGCTCACAATCGTGTTCAATGTATCCAGGAAGGATTTGGCTAATACTTAATCATGATTGCAACAGTGATACGGCAAAGAAGGCTTCTCATTGTGTGGTTACTGCTTTGTGTAAAGGTTCCCTGGATTCTCTTAACAACTCTGGCTGTTGTTCAGCTTGATTTCTTAGATCAAGGCTCCAAAATTCACTCAATAAAAAAGAATGCTGACAATGTATTGCTCAAAGACTCAGTCGCCTCCACTTCTACTGAACAGAAAATCTCTAGGTCTCATAGTTGGAGTAGTTTATGTTCTGGGCTAGAGATTTTTGGCTCCTTATTTTCAGCTTCAGTATTAGCATGGCTCTTTAGAGACGGTGGATAGCCAGTGAAATATGTTGACAATGAACTGATGGATTTGTACGGACATTTGTTCCTGGACAACGCTTCCAAATGACTTTGGTGATACCCTGACTCTTCATTCAGTGCCACCAGCAGGTTGACATTTCTCTGATTTATTGCTGGAAAAGGTCTTTAGAAAACATGTCAATACAGAGGGGAGAGCATTGCTTTGTGCTTTAGTGCCCACAAAAAAAGAAACCCATCAAATATATTAAAAAGGGAATTGTATCCCGACATTCCAACACATTTGATGGACATCACAGTATGAAAGTAGCATTTGCATCCTCTGCTAATGATAACACAGCGACTCAGACCTTAGGGTTTTGTTTTGTTTTCCACCAGCTGCATTTGGTTTTAGCATATATGCAAATCAGTGTTGATTGGATGAAATGACCTAAATCAGTCATATTGCAGATAGGATTTGTTAAGTCTTTGATTGAACTGATTACTAACCTATATAGCACACTACAGGAAAGGGAAACCCCCAATAAGAATATAAGAGCCCCTTTAAAGCTATATAGTGTACTGTATTATGCATCTTTAAAGGACAAAGAAAGTATAACCGCCTCATCATACTGTAGCTTTTAAAAGCTTTAGGACAATATTTGCATTGTAAGGATATGTCAAACATTCCATTATCTAAATGCAATGCTCCAGATTAACATCTTAAAGGATTTTTCATACTTGTAGTATATGGTATGCTACAATGAAATTGAAGCAATTTGCGGCACTACTGAGATTGGCACTGCACCTTCGCTAGCTTTGGCAACAAAATATATATATATATATATATTTGGTGGGATGTCTGCTTTATTGGACAGTATAATAAAGAGTGACAAGAAGGAGAGATGGAATGCACTTCATGAGCTCAGTTTGACCACATTTTGAGTGCAAGGCATGTGAAGCAGCCCACAGATCTTACGTGCAACCCCCAAGAAAACATTTCATCCTATTCTCGAGGGCTATGTTGGGGTTCAGCATAAATGAAGATATCAGACGCCGGAGATCTCGCTAATGGGAAAACCTGCTGAACAACTGTTTGAAGTAATGACTTGTATGAAACAATGACATAGGACCCACAGAAGTCATATTTCTCCGTTCAACTTGGCTGCTAAAGGTAGTTTTGATTTTTTTTTCGGTTTAGATTTTGGCAGTTTTCAGAAAGCTGCATGGTTGGTTTCTTTGGAAACTGTAATTGTAGACCTGGTTTCTTCATGTTATTGTTCCCACTGACATCCCCCTTTGTATTGGTGGACAGGAATATAAACCAACGTCTCCAACTCCTTCCAAACTACGTCCATGCCTCCTCCCAAATAATGACAATCAGACTTTTTTTCTACGAACATTCCCAATTATCTGCTGACCACCACAGTCTGGCCACAAGTGGATGTCTGCTAATCTCATGATAGAAGCATGCTTAAGGAATAGGCTAATGTGTTGTCTCTAAATTATGGGTTGTGATTCAGCCATCAAACACACTTCCATTTATAGTGGAAAAACAGGCACACAGGCACCGAGCTGAATATGTTAGGAGAATGCAATCTTTTATTCATGTAGTTAATGTAAATTAAGGATGTAGAGGTTAAACAGACTGTTTTTCGCTAGCGTACCTCTGATAGAATAACACTAAGCCATTGTCCCTTTCCCTATTTGTTCCCCGTGACAAGCTTTCAGTAAGATGTAAAGCAATCTTGGCAGCTTTCTGTAAAATAGCTTGATCATGTTTTTTCCCATACAATTCTAGTTCACACGATTACAATTTTTCCTCCGTCAGCAGGTTTGAGTGCAAAAACATGGCCTCTGCTAGCACCGTTGTCTCCTTTCACACCAGTGGTGGGAACAGCAGTGTTATACCCCTTTGATACAGTAAACGTAGCTCTACAAGTCAGAAAGCATACCCGCATTCAGCCGTCAATTTGATAATCAAATTTGAAAGTCCTGAAAGAATTTGTGTGTGTGTGTGTTATTATTATTTAAAAAAATGTGAGGCCAGCTGAAAGCAATTGATCGAATGCTGAGTAGTGCTGTAGTGTTGAAAGCTTTTTACAGTAAATGGAACAGAGTAAACGATTATAGTAAATTGTCTTAATGTATAGAGACATTGCATATGGAGAAGTAAAAACGTGTCATGGCAATACAAATGTTAACGGGATCTAATTAGGAATTCTTGCCTTCTCATGTAGCCACTCAATTACCCTGTCACAGATGCATATCTACACTTGGATTCAAGTAGACAAACCAAAGAATATAACCTCATCAGTGGGGAAGATTTTGTGGAATCTTGGTGAAGTATGCAGCCTCTCTGGCTCCTCTTCTCTCCACTGATTCATCCCAGACCATGACATCTTCCCCAGCCTGTAAGGTCAGACGCTGAGAGCATGTCAGCACTCTGCCATTATTAAAAGCCCTCAATAGAGCTGGCTGCCTTTTTGAGGAACCCTTCATCCCGAAATCAATCCATCAATCAGTTTTAACGCTTACCTGTATTTATTAAACTAGATTGTTGTTGGTTTAGTTGCCAAGTGTTGGAGATATAGTCTTAGAGATGTCTGCTTCCTCTCCAGTATAATGGAAATAGATGGCATTTGGCTTGGTTTGGTGTTTAAAGCCCAAAGAATACATTTGACTCAAAACTCAACAGCAATGTCTCTTTCAAGAAATCAAGATCATCCACAGAGCTTGTTATGAGCAGTTTCATGTAGGAACATACATTTCTACATCTCGTGCTGACACTAGATCAAGCCTCCTTGAGTATTTGCCTTGTTAACGGTTATTCGGTTTGCGGGTGTAGACAGAATAAAGAAGTCAAACTGCAACAAGGTCTATTGATTATCTTTAGTAATTGGGTCATGCTTTTTGGAAAGAGACATTGCGTTTGGGTTTTTCAACATCTTTTTTGACATTATGCGCAAAAGAAGAGTGCCATGTAGTTCCATTTCATTGGAGAGAAGTCAATCATCCCGTTTCCATCCAGTACTTTGTCCAAAACAAGATGAAAAAGATTACTTAACTCATTCCCCACAGGTATCCTAGTTAAGATGTTGAAGAAGGAGAAAAAAAGAGCCCAGGATGCTGTTGCTCAGCTTGCTAACACCGTCAATGGCCAGAGAACGGCGTCCCAGGATGCCTCAGGGTTGTCAACAATGCCACTATTGAGGGAAGGGAGCCCAGATAGCATCTCAACCGGCCATAGAGGACGAGCCATACAGCACATGAAAAGAGGTACGTTAAGAAACTAGATTCTGTTGTGCTTGTCTTTACAAAGCAAAGAATTGGAAAGATGTAAGACCAATCATGTTTATAGCTGCCAGAAGTGTTCTGATATTGAAAGGGTGTAGCACTCTAAGCATTTCAAAATGGCGTACAATCCAGATAGGATTGTTAGCCTTTGACCTGTCGAGGCAACAAAACTACTTGGTTAGGCTTAGGAAGGGATCCTTGTTTGTGTTAAAGGTCCCATGTCATATTTCTCCGGTTATTACCCGTCCCCTTGTGTGTTATGTAGCTTTTTATGCATGTAAACGGTCTGCAAAGTCACAAACCCTCAAAGTACACCCTGTGGCGAGTAAAACTCTAACACAGAAAATACGTGTCTATGCTGCCCCAGAACGCCTCGTTGGAGATTTTATTTTTCAATCTTTTTATTCCGGGAACCAAGTGACGTAACGACGACCCGTCCGTGGATTGGTCCAATCTTTTCTCAGCTGCAGCTCCGCCGATTTCTCCTCCCTGAGACGGTGGGACGCGGCGAGGCTGTGAGTCTGTGTGTGTGTGTGTTCGGGCTGGTTTCGGGCTGGGTTTCGCTGTGTCTCGGCCACTGGGCTCATAGGGAGGGGGGGGGCAGGAGTTCCAACAAGCCGTTTAGGACAGAGAGTGTATACACATACTATACAGAGATGCTGTATGAGAAACCAATGAGATTTTGGAAAATTGCACAATATAAATCTATTTTAGTAGACCTCAACAATGGAATTATGATCAGTAGAAATGGCCATGCCATGGGACCTTTAAAATAAGTATGTTTATTAGTTTGTGCTTAAGTTAAGTAACAAAAGCAAGTAAGGAAGTAAGCGTAGATTTTTTGTTTCACGCAGGACTACTGCAGAACTTCCAGCTGTGAAAGTCCATGTTTTTTTATTTATCTCAGTTCTCAGTTCCAGTATTTGGCAGATTGCTCTAACCCGTGGTCTTGCATTTAGTGTCATTACAGTGTTGCAGTTGATAAGCTTATCTCCATTTAGATAAACAATGCCATATCTCTTCAGAGCGTTAAGATTACAGTGAAAGTATAACAAAGAGTCAGTTAGTAGCAGAGCCTTCAGACTGCAGCTTCTCTTGGATTGCCGTCTATGTGTAATTTCTTCAGACATGAGCTTGGTTTAAATGTAATAGGAATGAGGAGGTTGCTAAAAGTCAAGCTAATCAAGCTTTGAGATATCCTCCCTAGCCAGCGGCAGCATTTATTTGGCCTTTCCTGTTTAATTTTGGCTAAGTGGAGCCTTACGTGTGATGATAAACCTGAGACCTTATAACGAGCTCAGTCATAGCCATCGGGCACAGCGGCAGGAGCCAGAAACTCATCACAGCGAGGCTGCGCTCCTGTCTGCGCTAACCACAGCTCCGTCATCCTTTTTGACATTTTTGTGTAATGGTGCCCAGTGCGGTTGTAAGGCCAGCACGGAGGTAATTGCAAACAGGGACTCTGAAAGAAGAGCCTATTTAAAACAAACAGGTTTGAACTCTGTCCAGTCAGACTTCGTAAGCGATTCGGTCATTCATCGAAGGGACAATGAGGAGCTCTGTGATGGATGGCTATGAAGCAGCGGTTCATACAACCACTGATAAACGATGTGCCATATGTATATGTCTCTCCGAATGATATGTTATCTAATACGGAGCATGATCATTTGGGTCATCTCACCAGAGGATTTGTTTTCACTTGCCCCAGCATTGCCTCTTCTTTTTCTCTCTCTGATTTCACGGGACGTGATGACCTCCATTAGTTCCACTTCCATTCGGTTGACCTGTGGCTGTGTGGCATCTGCGGCCTTACAATCACACACCACACAATTAGCCAATTGGAAAGACGAATTGTAATGCTGTCTGTATTTCTTATTATATTATATGATCTTGAACAATATATCACCCGTCCTGTTAGTATGATATCTTACGAAAGGTTATTTTGTGTTTTTTTAGGAATTTTTCTGCAAATGTCCAGCAAAATTAGCAATGACTTCCCCTGTACAAAGCCTGTTTTCGGCAACAAAGATTTTTTTTTTAACAACAAAAAAAGTGTTGTTACTTAAAGTGAACCTATTATGCTATATTGGAAACATATATTGTAGGGCCATACCTATACAAAACAAGTCTGTGAAGTTTTTTGCTTAAAATACCAAACAGATCACCCATTGTAGCCATGCTTCATACTGCTCATACTCCTCTTTTGCAGCCCTGTTAGAGAAATGTGGATTTTGGGTCCTTAGCTTTAAAAAAAAAAAAAAAAGAGGAGGCGGAGCTAATGCCTGATCAGAATTCTACCGGAGATAAAGTTCAATTCTGCTGTGATAAAACACCATCATGTTCTAAACCACATCAAGGATTATTTCTGAAACAGTATGGAGCTCAAATGCTTTTTCTCTTGCAGGTTTATCACAAGGTGAGTTCCTTTTTTTATTTCCTGCTTTTTAAACACATGTGGTCTCCAGTACAGGTTAGCTCTGAGTGTTAGCGAGGCTTGCTAATGTGATCAAAGATGGGATTACGTCCAAAACACGTCAGGCATTGTTTCTGATAGCAACTTTCTGTGGGTCCGCCGCCGACTTGACGTAATATCGGCAGCAAATCTGTATCCGCTCGTTGTACCCCCGTTTTTAAAAGATTTGGATACGGAGGAAAAGAGAAAGGGTTTTATTTTCTGACGCTGCTTAGGTCCCCCGACACACCGGGGACACATATTTATGTATAAAAGACATCACAAAGTGCATTTTGCATGATAGGTCCCCTTTAAGTATGGAAGTTGAGTTACAAAGTCTGGTTTATTTGGAACTACCCATTCTCACCCACATCCTCATGACGCAGACTTTTTTGCACCTGTCCTATGTCACAATTACGTGGGTTATACAGTATATACATTTCTCAAACTTTACATAGGTATGAGACCAAACTCTGATAGAGAACAACCTCTCAGTGTTGAGGGAAAAGCGCTTCTTATGTTTAGTGCACTGGTGTTCACATTTTTTCCAATGAGCATCTGGAGGCCCTTATGAACAGAAACATAAATATCTACATGACCTACAGTGATTTGAGTCGCAATAAATCCAAACATTGAAAATATTACATGTAAATAATCCAGCTGTTTCATAGTCAAATGAAAGAGAACACGGGTCATTTCTGTCAGACACACAAACACAAGTCATCGTGAAGAATCGTCCTGGCTCTTGAATAAAGGTTGCACAAAGTGACTTTTGGCAAGGGAAACCCTAAAAAGTCAGCAGTATCTGCCTCAAAGGACATTTTCATATCTGTTGCCTCCAATATTGAGGGATAGGTTATTACGTGTTACAGCCTCCATGATCATGATACAGCGTATATAACGGCTAAATCCATGTCAGGATCCACAAAACATGGGTTGGGTTGCCTTCAAGCATTCACAAATGGCTAAAGAGTCATGTTATAAATCGCAAGACTTTGTTTTAATTTCCACTCAATGAATATCAAATCAATGGCTGTCATGTTTCTTTGAGAGAGAAAGTATCACTTAGCCATTAGTTAAGGTGTTACTTGGAATCTCATGACGGATTCATGTCGCAGGTGCTAGTTTGCATTGATCACATGTTAAGCCCAACTCAGATTTTATGTGTGATAAATGACACTTGCTCCAATGCTGATGTACTGTGTCACATCCCACAAACAGAAAGTATAGAATATCTATATCTTTTTTTAAACCATTTTTCTTTTTAAAAGAAGGTGAAATATTTCCGTTCCCAGATTATACAAATATTTTCCTTTGATATAAGGAGAGTTAGGATTATATATTTGGTAAATGGAAATAATATCTTAAACTGTAAAGCAGGGAAACCATTGGCTTTGCAAGGCAAGTTGCAATGAACATCTGTATCTATATTATATCCATGTTGTGGGCAGTGAATTAGAGGGGGAAGCTTGTCTGTAATAAATGTTCAGGGTCTAAAGTTATCCATATCTATAAACTGAACATTTTCAATGCCATTCTTTAGTTTAACCAGTTACTGTATGTTTCTGTACTTGTAACTTGTCTGCAGTCATTTTAAAGTTTCCCATTAGCCTACAAGGCTGGGAATGCAATTGATATTTTTTCTGTGGTGTCTTTTTTAGACTAAATACACTTCTCTTTATTTTAACGCTTGAAAGAGTGCCAGCATTGCACTCTAACACATCCTGACTCATTGACCCGCAAAGTGAGTGAATCATTCAAGGGTGCTTACATTTGCTATGCTTGCTCTAATTGTTTAACTGTGTTTCTTTTTTCTTTTCCCACCGACAAAAAATGTAAAGCAAACACTTCAGCATGATCATTAAATAGTTAGTGTCGGGGCTGCGTGTAAAGATAAGAGCGATACACTGGAAAATACCAAAGATGTGATTATGAGCAGACTGGATTTCGTTGATAGCTTTTCTAATTTCAACATCGCATTGGAGTCATGAAGTCATTACATCCTTCTTGCACGCACACTATACAATGACTAAATAGGTACCTTAGCCAACAATATTGGCGCTACATTAATTGTCCACTTAACAATTGTTAAAAAATTGCAAAAAGCAAAAAAGTGCTACCCTTTCACAAATTCCCACATCCTGCAGTCCCTTGCTACCACTTACACATCCACTCTGGAATGTCTGTGTACTTTTCTCACACTTCATGAGAAATGTCTGTCTCTTTCTGCTCTGTTTGCAACGAACGCTGTGAACAGGACACAGGACAAAGCTTGATGTTGACCAGAAATGGTCTGCATTTTGGGAAGAAAACACTTTCAGAACACGTTGAGCAGTTCCAGGAGGATCAGAGAGCACACCTCTCGCAATTAAGTCATTTCTGACTTTCCCAAAGAGCAATACTGCTGATTTCTTTAAGGAGGCCCTTTTATGCTTTTTGGGGTTTTTCCTTTTCCTGTAGTGTGTTATATGGGTTTGTGTGCATGTAAATGGTCAGCAAAGACTAAAATCCCAAAGTTTATGCCAGAGGG